TCATTGAACACTATCATCATACAGCTGCAGATCCCACACTAAGTGACAACTTAGATAAATTGTTAAAAACCAAAATTTACACATTGTTTATAATTTTTTTTCCTTCATTATTATCTATGTTAATAATACTGTGTCGGTATTACTCGAGATCAAGAATAACTCGATCTTTCGATTTTTAATTGCTTTTGCCGTCGCTTATTTTTTATATCACATGCTACGGTGCTGAGCTTGTCAATGAAGCTTTTAGAGAAGCCTGCAAAAAAAAAAAAATACTTTGACATAAGTAAATCCTGCATGGATAAGACAGATGTCAGTTGTCACTTCCCGTTTTGCGCGTCATGAACAATGAACTACGCTTTCGAGCTCCCCGTAAGGAAGAGCAACACGAGCAAGCCTCTCCTATACCCCTACTTCTAGGCCGGAAAAGAACAGATGTCGGGCTGTCTTAAAGATTTCGAAGGGACGACCCTTTTCGGGGACCGACAAGACTCTCTTTGAGACGCAATAAAAGGGGACCAACGGAACTCGTAAGACCATTGTACTATTAAGCAGATGTTCAATGAATGCGCAATGCGTTTATAATACGAATACTGGACAACAAGCTCGAGTTTTCTAGGGTGTCTGAGAATTTTGGCGTCTTTTGCGTTATTATTGCGACGTTATAGGAAAAACGTTTCATCAATTTTCTCTTTATTCAGAAAACTCTCTGTAATTCTTTGAATATACAGAAGAGTTGTTGTTTTTGTAAGATTTCTCAATATTTTTCCATTGTATATAGAAAAGCGGACTCGCACAAGACCCAACATACTAATCGTGGCTGCAACCGCGACGAGCAGCGAGCCAACCTCCGCTTGTACCCTTGAACCTAACAGACACTCGCGACGTTGCCGCCTCGTGCAAGCGTGCCGCGAGCACGGAGCAACATAAAGTGAGGCGTGGAGGAACGGAATAAACGTGAAGTGTGGTGCGGAGACGCGGAGAAGCGCGGCGGTTGGTCGGTCGACAGCTACGCTCGGTCGCGCTCGGCTGTGTCCGGTGCGTGCTTTCTTCACAAGAATTCCGTGCACACCACCTCCTCCTTCTCCTCTGCCGCCGCTCCTATCGTCGTCGTCGTTGTCGCTTCGTCGTCGTTGTCGTCGTCGGCGGCGGCGGCGGCGATCTGCTGGCGCGACGCCGAGCAGGCTGACGTCACGCACGTCAGCGTTACGCGTAGCGTTACGTAAAAAACGTGCGCCTGCTTGGCTGACTGGCAAACTCTACTCGCTGAAGCGTGTCGCCGCCGTGTTGCGTTGCGTTGCGTAGTATTGAATTAAGTAGCATCGCGGCGAATGTAAGTACAAGCAACGCTCTGTATATGCCAGTATCGGACTCTCGATACGCTTCTGCAACGATTATATTATTCTTTTTTTTGGTGGCGAAATATTTTTGATTTTTGTACTGTTACTTCATTTTTGTCCGTCAAAAGTTCTCTTGTCGGTGATCAAGATAAAAAATAACACTCATGATAAAATTTGATATAAAAAAAAAAACTTTATACTGCCTTGTATATTTGTTTTGTATGTATCGTGAGAGTTTCAAGGTTGATTTTCATTTGACAACACGAAGATTATCGTAATGATCAGATGAGAGATACGCAATGTTAAATTCAGCTCATGACTGCTTCAATTTATATCGCCTTTATGGTACATCACGCTTATTGTTAGTGCCATGTAAGAATCTTTTCACACTATGCAATGTTCATTGCGACAACATGCAACTTTGATCGCATAATACATCCTCTTTTACGGCTTCTATATGTTCTAATTTGAGCGGAGCAAAACAAACGTCAGAGCTAACGTTTTTGCGCATGCGTACAAACAAAAAATTGCATCTTGCTGCAGTGAACATTGCACAGTAGTGTAAAAAAACTCTAACATGTTCGCTATAACTGCGCAGTACAAGATCCGTACCGTAGCGTATAAACGGGACGAGAGAATCGGCCATATTTAAAGCGCTAAGCATGCATCGAATAGCTGTTCCTTCTGCTAGATACGATAACGCGGCAGAAAGAACGTTAGCAGCGAAATCAGCTTCACGCGACATTTTTCTTCTTCTTTTTTTTTTTTACGTAACGTCGCGCCAGAGCGACTTCGTGACGTCAGCCGTCGGTATTATCCAGCGTGGTGTAGCCAGGCGGTTTTGTCGGACGTAGATTCCCGTGGAGAAAGCATAGATAAACATAACCTACATAGAACGGTCTCTCGAGCACGTCAGGGTCAATGAACGACGAAACCGGAAATTCGTCGTCTATCTCTATTCGACTGGGGAAGAGTAGGTTCCACTTGACGGTCCCAACGATCGTAGGCCAGGTATAAAACTGATCATTGCGATGGACCATTATTATAGGCAGTCAACGATTGCTGCGATCGTCAAATGAAACCTGAAAGAAGAAACGAGAATTAAAATGGTCATCACCAGCAATAATTTCCTTCATCATAAAAAACATAAATTTCTTTTTTCTTGCAAATACTTGCGGCCGTATGATTCACATACGTGTTTCTTTCTGAAACCACAGAAATCCAAGAAAAATTATTTGCACAAACGTCTAAAACTTTGTCGTCCCTAACCGAGGATCGAAGCGTTTTTCCTTTAGCTTTCTGTGTGCATCCTCCTCGGTATGCTTCTTCATTCGCCGCATTCGCGTCTCTCGTTCGCACGCTCGTGTGCCATTTACGAGGCAAACCGGTTTACGCTTTTTGCCAGCCTCGGCTTCGAGAAGAATGTTGATTTTTGCGATATGTACCGCTTGGGAAGCTAACCTACATCATTATCCGGATGAGGCTGGCTACGCTTGAAAACGCGCCTTCTCAAGCAAGTTACACAAAACTGTCTTTTTAAAAGAAAGACGCTCTGCACACACCGACGCGAAATGTTACATTATAGTACGATATTCAAGAAAAATATCATAAAAATATCATGTCTCCGAAAATTGTGTGTTTGCATGTAAACGTTTGTGAGAATTATCTTCGTCGTAGCTTTCTCTAAGTTTAAATAACACGACGCAAATTTAAATTTTTAATTTTAAAAATCAGAAAAAAAAAAAAAAACCAAACTGGATTCAAGTAACTTGAGACAACATCGCATTTCTCAACGGCCCAACGTTAAATTAATTCGTTCTATTTTTACGCCGGATGGAAACAAATGTGACGCATCTGTTTAAAGTTAAAGTAAAAAACATGTATTTTTATACACGGGCGAGAATACAAAATAAAGGTCTCTCTCCCGAACTTTGTCGATTGGACTTTTAACAGTGGTGTCACGAGTGCAAAATGATGATGAGATACACAGAGTGCTGTAGGTTAGTGAGAACAATAGCCAGTTCGCGTTTATAATGAATCGAGATGCATGCCGCGCGGCGCGGCGCGCGTGTAGTAAAAATATTTTCGGCTCCGTGCTTCGAATAACGAACGGTTAGAATTACCGAATTCGTCCTCGACCGTGAAGGCGGACGCGTCCGCTTCTCCGCGGATTGTTTGTCGTCGACGCAGAATTTCGATTCTCATGTCATGCGCCGGTCGTTTCTCGCACGTGTTGTCACGTTACTTTCTCGTTTATATACATAAGCACGTAACGTCTCTGACAGTGGCGCAAATCCAAATAACAACAATTACTCTTCTTTTTTCGTTAATTTCTAACGATGAAAAGAATACACATGATTCTCGTGTGGCTACAACTGAGAATCTAAAAGCGAGCGATTCGTTAATTATTGAGAATTTAGAAATTTACGATGCTGATATCAATCGTTGCGGTATAACAACCGGAAATGTTCGCTTTCCGCGTGCAATTTGAAAGAAGAGCGGATTCTACGTATGTATGTACGAAACACAAAATCGTTCTATAGAGCGTTAACGTATTCTCGCGCAGCTATTTTGCGACTTTTGTTTGCGCCAACAATAGCGACATTGATAATTATAGAGAGTTTTAAGATTCTCGATTAACAATGGGCTTGGAACGAACGGTGCACAACAACCTTTGCACGGGTGTTATCGGGCGAAGAGTCACGGACTCTTGTAGGTCTCTAGTGCATGCAATCGGAAACCAGTCGGACTCCTTCCCCTTTCCTCTCTTTCCCCTCATACAAGTCAGACAAAACTTTCGAAAATTCCAGGATGACGTAGTTCCCTGCTCTCGACGCGTGTCTACGGTGTGAACGAAAATGAACGGTCGCGCTCTTCTCTCGCTTCTTTATTTACAGTTACTTACGTAATACGACACCAGAGTTTCTCTGTTACACCTCTCTACTTTTTTTTTCCTTTTTATTTTTTGCTTTGTTTGCTCGAGACATGGCAATCAGCTTTGTCGTGTTGTCGTAAGAAAGAAAGAAACTGTGAAAATTAAAATAAAAACATATTGCATTATGTACGCAGGAATAAATGTGCACTTACCTTTGTCACAAGTGTTCCTGCTTGTACTTGAAAGGTACAGATGAGATATCACTCGCGCTCGTTTTTTTTGTTATTCGCGTTGTGTAAGAAAAGCGAAACTTATTATTGAAACTTGCGGAAAAAAGACTATCAACGCGCAGAAACGCTGATAGGATATTTGAAAAAAAAAAAAAATATACAGATAAATATACTACGCGTTATCTTGCGCGTTGCGCAAAATAAATGAATATTTATAAAATCGTTACTGAAGAATTGCACTTACGGATGGAATCGCACTTACGAATAAACATGATCGTGTTTATCCGTTGGAATAAACATGATTGTTACTAAAAAAGGATGTCGTTATCTAACCGAAGTCTCGTAATTACTTCGTCGCGCTTTGCGCGATGACTTATACGGTATAATCTTTGATGAATCACATATGATTATTCCGGTATGGTACAAACAGTTTCCGCGAAAACTTAACGCGACTTTACGCGTTAAAAATATGTGCATATAAAGTAAAATCTTAATAGTAATTATCTGAAACTTGTTACAAATTGTGTAACACACGCAAGAAACTCGAAAAATACTCACGTGCGCCGTGTTAAGTGGTTGGTGACAACGGAACTCGGTAATTCGGGAACAGCGTTTAAGTCCGGCAAAGTTTTCGTTGAAGTTCGATCGTTGTTAGATTCTGAAAGTTAGAAGATTAATCGATAAGCGATCAATTGTTTCAAAACGTCAACATGTAGAAATTCAACAAATGCATTTTAAGTAGTAGCTTGTTTACCTTGAGAAAAACAATTTTCCGTTTTGGCAGCGCGATGCTCGCATTCAAGTTCATTCGTCGATTGTTTTGACACTTTCCAATTGTGTATCTCCTTCCGTAAAATGCGAATCGGATCATCGTTGTCCGCGCTAACAAAGCCGATCTCGTCAGACAAACAGTCCTTACGTCTCGCGTTGTCGCGCGATTCCGCGTTTCTACGATCTTCCTTCCGCAAAAGAAACCGACGACGCTCGCAAGCACCCCGTGACTTTGTCGCGAAATTTCTAACAAGATTCCCGTCGTTCGAAGATCGCGTCTTTTGCGATAATTTTGCGGACAATTTTCTATCGATTGCAGATTTTGTGCGTCGATTTGAAGGATCAGTTCTCGCGGACATGTTACCGCTTCCTCCGATTGCAATATTTCGAACTGAAAAATTGACCAATGCGATAATAGAAAAATTATAAATCGTAATGTTATATACAGTTTACTATATAGATAGTTTATAGTTTTACTATATAATTTAGTATGTATATAAATACCTATGTACACAAAAAACGTGACGCGACGTTGCACATGTTAGGCAAAGATCGAAACGCGACGATACAAAACATCTGCTGCCTACTTCCTGTTGTTCCGAAATTGTATCGTGTTGCTTCCAAAAACGATGTGACCGGGAATCAACATTAATCGATCCCAATTTATTTCACTTTCACCATCTTTGATTCTTGTTCTCGCCAAAAATTTTCCCGCAAACTCACTTTCTTATACGCGCGCAGCTGCAATTTGCAACAACCGGTTCCGAACTTTCATATCATTGTTTCGATATTGTTTCGGCGTCTGTCTTGACATGTCTTCGCACAGGCGAACGAAACCGGCGAAACAGCGGTGTTTCCGGTACGCGGTAATTCAAAAATGTGTAATAATTTTTAATGAGAAGTGTCGAGATGTGCCGACGAGGAACAATATCGGAACGAATCACACACTTTTTGGCTAACTATTTTCGCGGCAGTTTGAAATTGCGTATTGCTAACGATCGCGCTGCCAACCGTAGAAAATTGAAATACATTCTTGAAGATTTAGGAACACCGGTTGTTGTGTCGATTCTCAGTGGCGTTCCTAAAACCATTCTATTAAATACACACGCACACACACACGTACTTACATCCATATATATATTTTGAACCGGCGTTTCTAACCTCAAAAAACGCCGAAACTTGATGTTAATGTTAGCTAGGTTATAAAAACAACAGAAAGATACAATAAAATTATATATCTGGGTAAATTATTGAATTCTGACAATGGCGATGCAAAATCCGTCCGATGTGGATGCTGACCAAATTAAATCTGTATGTATTAGCGAGATTATTCTTGTATACGAATTATTCTTTTTCGCATTGTAAATGATCCAAACACGTGTATTTTAGCAAACTGTCAGTGCTGTAGTATATATTGTTATTTAGTTAATAACTTATGTAATTGTTTATATTTTTTTTTCTCTACAGTTTCGAGAGTTTTTGACTTCGTATAATAAACTCTCTGAAATTTGTTTTATTGACTGTATAACTGATTTCACAACAAGAGATGTTAAAGCCAAAGAAGAGAAATGTGCTCTTAATTGTATGGAAAAGTATCTGAAAATGAATCAAAGAGTGTCGCAACGTTTTCAAGAATTTCAGATAACTGCTAACGAAAATGCCATAGCAGCTGCTAAACGACAGGGTCAGATAAAGTAATTTGTCACTACTAATTGTAAGCAAAATTTTTTGTCCTTTTCTTAAAATTTTCTTTTATACAATATAGTAAACAAATCGTTACTTGAATCTTTATGTAATAAATTAATTTATCTCATATTTTGTATGAACTTGGTTTCATAAATACTTTTTCAATTTCGCAAAGTCTGAAACAATACAAAATGTTTTAATGTTCTGTATATAATTGTTATTTAAAATAAGAATTTTTGTAAACTATAAAAATAAAATTATGTGAATACATAATTACATGTTAAATAAATTATAAACTTGATCTATCTCACATCTCAATATGTAAACACAAAATTTGGCTTTCAATGTTAAAACAAATTGTCTTTTTACACTACTCCTAATTTTTCAAATTATTAGGTTTATAAAATATGACATGTAGTATCTGAATACTTATATATTCAAGTATTAATTCAAGGGTGTTATAAAATATTTTATATAATTATTTAAAATTCTTAATTATGGCTATATATATATGTATAAACATAAAAATTTATACAAAGGAGAATGCTATGCATATATATATGTATGTACAATATATGCATGTGTATAGACTCTTTATTAAAACAATTAAATTTACATATATATAAACATATATATAAATTTATAAAATCTAACTGGATTTGGAGTGTCCAAATTCGGAGAACTTCAATTTTCCCTGGGATATTTCTATGTCCATAGTTTCGCTTTCCCACTCAATCGGAGAGAATGTTTGTATGTTTGCTTCTACAGGACCCAGACTTTGAATTTGAGATTGAGTAATTTTGTTGTCGAAAGTTGTGCTTGATATCTGAGGCTCCTCAGTCTGCATCATGGTGTCCGAATTCGGTGAATTTGGAGGTGTTTTTCGCAATCTCTTGTAGTCCGAAAATCTTTTCAACGACACTTGGTCCACGGAAACAGCCTGTGTGGTGTGTCGCGTTTTATACAGTATCGGACAGCCCAAATCACCTTTCAGACTCAAACTGTACAAATTGGCTAGTCGACATAACTTTTCTCGCTCGGGTTGTCGCATAGGATGCAGTTTCAATTCACTCTGAGTGGGATCTTGTAGAAATCGAGAAACTTTCTCGTTAGCTGACGTTATGATGGAATAACCGGGCTTGTTATTGACATGTCGTCGTCCGGCACGAATCTCTCTACCACTGAGACCTTCGCGAATGCGCTGTATTCGTTGCTTATAGTTCCTCTTGGCTTCGGCGACTGAGTGTTCGTGCTGTATCATTTGCTGTAAGGTCGAATCCGATGTGGCTTTATCGTCACTTGTGCTGTCTCCATCTTCTCGCCAACTTGGCTCCCCGATCCAATCTGACTGCTCGTCGTCTCCTGTAACAATCAAATTATTTAATAAATGTAACCTACACATGTATAAATGTATTATCATCATACCTTCTCTATCTTCGTCATTGGTAACAAGACCTGCTTCCGAGTCGCTAGATGAAATACTCGAGCTAGATATACGCGAACAGTCCACAGTATCTCCTCCTTGCATCTTCCCACGATTCTTTAGCTTGGTGTTTTTCGTTGGTTTAGACATTCTCATCTCGCAATCGATGGAACGCTCTCTACATGATCTCTTACGTTTTCCGCACCATATAGCGCCGTACTTACTTTTACAATCACTTCGAAAAATACGTTTCTTTCCACCGAACGAAGTCGACACAATTGCCACTGCCTGCGAAGTGGACCCGTTCGCGTCGTATTCAATGGCCATCCTTTTAAATTTCCTCTTGCGCCTTGTGTTCGTTCGCGGCACAAAGTTTTCGTTTACCGAGTCGCTCTCGATATTGCTCGTGTTATTTAAGTTGGAGAAATGGGCGAAACGTTTGGTCTGATTGGTATCGTCGCTGTCCGACTGATATTTCGAAACGTTGGCAGTTTTTGGAATACGAATGTCGCAAATGGAAGATGAGCTGTCGTCCGAGTGTTTGGTTATGCTTAAAGTTGCTGTAAAATGTTATTTCGTGTCAGTTCTTCATTGTATTTTCACAACAGACCGCGTGTTATTACATGTTTCGGAGATTACATATGATTAAGCTTTGACTTCTTTATACTGTACAAATTGATTTCTACAAAGTTATGTAATCTTGATAATAATCCACACTGTGTGCCTCGTAGAAGCCAAACTGTAATTGTGTGTAAATATATAAATTAGGATCTGCGTAAGGGGAATGCAATATATAACAGTGTTTCTAATTTGATGATTTAATTGGAAGAAGTAAAATTTTTTAATTTTCTTTTTACCAAAACTCCCTTTGCTCCCTTAAACTTACGAATATTTCCCGTAGAACGGGCTCGTCTTCTAATGCCCCATCTGCGTCTGGTTGTACTGTTGCTGCTTTCTTCTAATGCCAAAGTCAAATCGTGCACAAGCGCCTCCATTTTTACTCTTAAACTTGCTGGTACAGCCTTCAAAACACGCTCCATTTGAAGGACGCGTTTTTTGCTGCAAAAATTTTATCAATTTTACTCACTCAGCGCAAGTTTACAAATTGTCGTTGTCATAAATATTTACTTGAAAATATTTTGTACAAGTTATTTTACAATCTACATAAACACATGCGTACAAGTGTTTTAATTACATTTCTTACATATGCATATATTTTTTTATGTATGTTACATCCTAAGCACAACACACGCGAGACGTATAGGTTTTAAAAGTGCGACAGAGATTCGTTTTTTTCTCATTGCGAGATGCTTGAGCGTTCGAACGATTATTTAACGATATCTTGCACCGAACAAGAGTCGTGACTTATCAGCGATGCTTCGTCTAAACGGAAACGAGACATACGGTATATTAAAAGATTATCGAAAGGCAGTTAAACCGTTCACACGACGAGAAAACGCATATGGTGCGAACGAGTAGCATATCCGTGATATATGTCAATCGTTGGACATGATGATAGGAGGAGGGGATCAAAACAAATCGCGTTGGTTTTTTCTTGTCGGTCACGACGATACGTAATATCCTGCTGCTCACCTCTTACGAGTGATGTCCATTAGCCCTCGGCTTAAAAGTCTCTCATCGTCGAACTCACGCGGTTCGTCGTTGTTCTCAGATGAAGAAACGAAAGAGAAATCACGCAAAACGCAACGCGATTTAAAAAATCGTCAATCATGTCAGATTGTTCTTACCGTTAAAGTTCCGATTGTTGTGTATTATACCGCTGTAAACCGTTGCGAAAAGCGCACACAACAGTTTATCCGTGGGATTTCGAGATCCGTGACACAGAAATGCGAAGAAGCTGAGCGACCAATTGCAGTCGCGTATTCTCGAGAAGGAAAGTTCGTTCGAAGAAAATGCTCGGCTGCGATTGGTCGATTTGCCGAGCGCAGCGATTGCGTCGTTGTCAAAATCCGCCATTAGGATATGACATTTGGAACGCGGCCTTAAAAGTACATATTCATACCGCCATTTCCGGTGCTTTGTCGTGCGGACGTACGCAACGCTCGCGTTCCCGAGTCTGGTGGGCGGTTTGTTGTTCGAAATTTTCGCGATATAAATCGTCGCGCGACGCTTTATACAACGCGATATGTTGTGAGAAATGCGAGTGAATGTGAACGGCGGCGACATAATGCGAGAGCTCGTATTGCGCGACAAGACATACGAGCGCGGTTGTGCAAATAGCGCGTAGTGATCGTCTGCGCACGCCCGATGTGTCTCCGCGGCAAGATGAGCGCGGCATCGCGTTAGGTCGACTGCGAGGACGCACTGGTGTCGCGAGTTGAAAAGAGAGAGAGAGCGCGCACAAGCGAGAAGCGCGCGATCGCCTAATTACGATTCTGTCTGTCAGCTAGGTAATCGGAGTAATAACGTCGCCAGGGCGTTAAATACGGAGCGGACGCGCGATATTGACTGGTGTTTTGACCAGCATAGAACGCTGAGCAGTGTTGGTTGATAAGGTAACGTGGATAGCCGCCGTGATGGACGGCGCGAACGTGAATGGCGGGAACACAAGAATCGTATCCGAGGATCCTAACCTCGAAAGCGCTGACGGTGGTGATTCGGCTGTGCAATCGATGCCAGAAACGCAAAATTCACCGTTGAGCGGTAAGACTCAGTCGACGGCTGGCGGAAACGCGGACACGCAAGGGATTAACGGCGATCTAAAGGCCACATCCAAGAAACCCGGCACGCAGTCCCTGCGTAGAAGAACAAGGAAATCCATCACCGACGGCAACGTGATGGAGTCGGTTGTAACTAGGACGCGGAAACGCAGGCACTCCAATCTCAATTACGCGAGTTCGGATGATTCTGAAGAGGAATTTAATGGGTTCGAGATGCATGGGCTTGATTCGCAGCCAGGCAGTCATGTTTTGAAAAAGCTCATTGGTAGTTATTAGTTATAGTTAATTAGCCCCTAGTTGTGTTATCCATAGATTTTTCTCAAACAGAACCTGATAATTGTTTTGAGAAGATTTTTTTCAATGCTTTTGTGTTTACACACACACTTTTTATGTTTTTTCTAATTTTTCATATACTTTTGTGCAAACAATGTCAGAATTAAGGTAAATTCAATGCAATTTATTGCAGCTGAAGCAGAAATTGCAGAAGCACAATTTGTAAAACGTATCAGATATTCAAGAAGAAGCCTAGATGATAAGAAGGAAGATGATCAAGATTTTGATCACACAAGAGCCTATATTTATGAGACAGATAGTTTTGGACAATTTGACATGGAAAAGATAAAAAGAGAAAAAGAATCTGACAAATCAGAAACTGATTCTATTGATATGCCAAATAGCATAGATTCTGAGATAGAACCAAGTAAAATTGAATCTGTCTCCATCAAGTCAGCAAATTCGTCAGCAACAAGTAGTCCATCAGCAGCATCACAAAGGTCGAGAAGTAGTCGTATTTCTCGTGGTCCCAGTCCAGGAGGAAGGCAAAAAGTTGTTGATATGTCCAATCCCTTGTATAAAGAACCGTTTAAGCACGGATGGAAACGTGAACTGGTATTTAGAGCAACTAATGATAATTCACTGAAAAGAATGGCTGACATATATTATTATACTCCAACTGGCAAAAAAGTCAGGAGTTTTAGAGAAGTTGCTGAATGTCGTAAGTATAATGCGTGATGTAATATATATTGTTAACCTTCTCAGTGCTATAGATGTATAAATTCATTTAACAAGTAACATACTGTGGGCGCTAGGAGTTATTTTCATCTTTAGTCAAAAATTCAGCACTGAAAGGTTAATTAACATATTTTATGATTCATTCATATTAGAACTGACATTTATTTTACAGTCAATTCAAAGGAGTTAAAAATTGACCACTTCACATTTTTCAAAGAGCCTATTGGACTCGATGATCCAGAAAAAGAAATAGTACGAGATGCCAAAAAAATGAGAGTATGTTTTTACATTTTACGTTTTAATGTTACCAAACAGTTTATGTTACATTTAAATGTCTGTCTTGTGAATTGTATTAATTATGAACTCACTGAATATGTATGAAAGAACTTCTTTATCATATTGTTTGTTTATCGCATAGTATTAGAAGGTATGTGCAGGAGGAAAATATTGTTGTTTACACATAATTTAATTTTTTTTTTTATTTATTGTAAACTTAAATTTTTTTAATAACAAGTTTGATTTAGATATTTTTCATTACATTGCAATAATTAATGTAAGTAATATATTACTTTTTAAAATCGTTTCAAACTAGAAAGATTTTATTTTATATCTGCATTGTTTGCAGGGATCTATGGGAGGATATGGAAAGAAATCTCCTGCTAGAAAATTCACACCAATAAAAAAGTCAGCACAAGAACTTGCAGTGAAAAAGATAGTACAAGAACCTGCAACAAAGAAACCAGTACAAGAACCTCAAGTTCCTGTACAGGTGGCTGCTACTACACCTACATCTGTATCTACAGAAGCTTCAAAACCTAGTTCCGTACCTGTGTCAGTGCCTACAAGAGCTACCAAATCGACAAAAGTTTCAACACCTACAGTACATAAGACAAAAACAGCTGCAAAGAAAACTCCTCAAATAAGTACGTTTTATTGGCTCCAAAATTTACACATTTTTCATGTTTTTTAAATGGGTTTTATTTTTGAGATTATCGACAACTTGAATTATTTCGAAATTAAGTTCTATATTTTAAAAGGATTCTCAATAACTCGAAGCAGATTGCAAAAAAGATTTTTTTTCAGTTTTTTTTTTTTTTTTTTTTTTTTTTTTTTTGCTGCCCATGCTGATGTACATGTATGTTACAATATCAAAAATTTTGAATTGCATAGCAGAAATGAAATCACCAGCTGAAGAGATTGAGATGCTTCCACCTCAGCGAAGTATAGCAAATACAAGACGGAATCAACAAATCGCAGAAAAAGTTGTTCCTGTCAAAGCCAAAAGATCGCTACCGTGAGTATTTTAATTATTTAGTCTTATATTTAGTTATTCTGTTCACACATATGTATATGTACATACATACATACATGTCACGTTCTCTTGAATAGTCGAATGCGTAAATTTAATCGAAAAAAGCATTTTTATTTTTTATATAAAATATAGAAAATGTTTTTTTCTGAAAAATCTAATAAGAAAGAATAAGAAAAGATTGAAATATTCAGAAGATTATGTATTTGAGTGTGTGTGTGTGTGTAAGAATGTGAGAGAGAAAGAGAAAGAACAAGAGCGAGAGCGAGAGCTTAATTGAAATACCTAACATAATTATGTATATCTTTATTATGCAATTTATTTTATTACGTATTTGTTTAAAAAAGATATACATAACTCAAAGTTGTTGTACATTGTTTTTGAATGCAACAGCAGCTCTATATTCTACCTATAATTTTCATAACTTTTCCCTTTTGATCCTATTTCACAAATCCTTAATAAGCATCTTGTGTTTTTTTTCCTGAATTCCTTTCCCCGTCAACGCACATCTTGCAGGCCGAAAGTTCAAGAACCGTGCAGCATACGATGTTCTACAAGTATGGGATTAATACCAAGTTTGCAATGCCGTATCTGTCTCTGTTTGTATCATCCCGAATGTGTCGATGGCAGGGAAGTTGCAGGCAGTGATGAATACGTCTGTAAGGTAGGTGTGCCGCATAGTATATATTGAATAAACAATGATCCAGTGGCGAACAAAGAATTGTGAACTGTGTGAATAAGTTTCCATTTATACATATATTACTTGCTTTCCGACAAAACTGTGTTGCTTCTGTGATATATCAAAAAATTTTCATCTTACATGACGATATTGCACATAAATTGATAGTTTTTTTTTATAGCACAAAATTAAATCTGTTATAGAATTGTCAACCAGACACTAAAGATTCTCATACATCGAATAATCCTACTCTGACGCCGCCTCCATTGATTCCAATCAGTATGTTGGGTACTCAGAATGCCAAATCAAAACATCAAGCTAACGCACCGCCACCTCCGAAGTTACAAAGAATTCCCAAGAATTCAGACAACGCTGATACGCAAATGAGAAATCCTTCCAAAGTTTCCAAGACAATGTCTGCAACATCAAATACGTCTTCGACTACAGATAAGAAAGAAACCGCTTGGTTTCCTCAAACGGAAAATGAGTTCTTGCAGAGCCATGATGGTACTATGCCGAAACCAGCGCAAAATATCGCTCTGATGGGTGGTAAAAGATATATTGTAGTGCCGAAAAATAACGCGATGGCGGTTCAACCGGCTATAACAGTGAAACCAGACAAAATTGGCGACAAACCTCCAATACTTCAAGATGGTTTACTTACCGACATCTCGAACACCGTGGATAATGCTGTTGAAAAGCCGCACGCGCCTTTATTCAAGCACTTGAATACTGATGCGTCTGAAAACGTAAATGTCATGTCTGATAAAGAAATGTCAAAAGATGCGACAAATGACGTAACACATCTTGTCTCTTCCGCTGTCACCGAAGAGCTCGATAACAAAGACAGTAAAGATAATAAGGATGAAGAAGTTCAGATTACAAAAAATAACAAGAGCTCTCCGAAAAGAGACAAGTCTATTGAAAATCTATCAGAAACTAAATCTTCTACCGCTGCTATAGATGATACGGCCGAAGAAAACAAAGCAGCTACAAGTCGTGAATCACCTGAGAGAAAACTTGAATGTACGCCAGTATCTTCAGAAAATATTGTGAGCGATGTTGAGACAAAGATAATCAAACCTGTCGAACGGCAACAGTCAAGTAAAGCGGGTACAGTAAAAAAAGTAAAAAATATCAAGTAAGTGTGTACGTTTTAAGAAAATAAAAACAAAACATCGGTATATTCTCTTATTTTATCCTGCATTTAAAACGTTTCATCTCCAAGTGGATTTAAGTTACGGCAACTATCTTTTGAGGTTTTGGCAGTTGCTTTGTACATATTGTATTTACAAAGTTTAGAGACGCACTTTTTTTTATAATAACCAAACGCTTGAGCAATCAAAAATAGAAAATTATTATTTTTAATTTTCTTGTCTTCCGTACTATACAAAACTTGATATATTGAATGCATTCGATTTTTATATGTACGATATTTTTAATACGAATCTTATAATGTAAACATGTGCAAAATCCTATAATATTGTAAATGCAATGTACACAAATGTTTTATTATATTTGGAAATATAAAAAACACATGTGTTATAAAAATGAATTTGATTTTGTCGTATGATCGAAGCACACTGCCTTAGCTTCTTAAAAATACGGCCAAATTCCGAAGATATACAACAAAAGTAAATAAAACGCGTGCACCCCATAAAGTTTCACGATATATATATATTTTTTTTCTATTTGTGTAATTGTAGTATTAAAGTAAATTTGTATTTTATCTAATCCTCGATTTTATCCGACACTTTTAAATGCACATTTTATGCGTAAATATACGAATGTTTACATTCATGCTGCAATTACAAATAAAGCTCTACTGATAAGTGCTTCAGCGGAAAAAATCTAATTCATTTTTATTTTTTATATTTGCAGATATAAAGACATGTGTGCGAGCCGAAACACAAAAGCTCTTAGTGCGTTTTCCCGAAAATTCTCACAATCTTCGTCCTTTGATCCTATATCCAATCCCATGTTTGTTTCTTTACAACTCTTATCACCTTTTTGATAGAAATTTATATATTCTCTTAAGCAGAGAGAATTATATTTTTTCAGAGGTGTTTTTACGACATTATTTGAGAAATGTAATGTGTAACGTAAACGAAACTCTTAATTTGAAAACCTCTGTAAAAATAAGCTCCTGCTTTTAGTTTTAATTGCGAGATAAATTAATTATTTTTTCGGTATAAGATATGGGTGCTAAAATTATTTCTGCAAACGTAATAGAGATACAAGATGAAACGTATGTTTTTAAAATGTGATTCATTTTTGATGTTTTTCAGAAAAAAGAGCCAAGAGGTTGAACAGCAACAGAATTTTATGGTTTCCATTTGTGCTGGCTATAATGCCTTGCTGCGCATTTTCCAATATCTTAAAGTGCAAGAGCTACTAAGGGCTGCGCGAGTTTGCAAAATGTGGCGTGATCTCGCTGCGCATCCGTCTTTGTGGAAAACTGTACGAATGAAGAACAGTCAGGTCACCGATTGGGAAGGTCTGGCGGACACATTACAAAGACGGGGTACTCAGTATCTAGATCTCAGAAAAATGTTGGTGGCTGGTGAATCTGATCTTTGGAAGAAATTTTTGACTGTTATCCCGCGAGTTACTAGTCTCGTCAAACTCGAGCTGTGCAAATGCCCCGTCATGGTGGTCGAAGAGGTTATTAAGAACTGTCCTCAGTTGGAAGTATTGAGTGCAATGTCGATCAAATGCGATTCCCTCAACTTGGAATCGGTCGGCAATCTGAAGCAATGTCAAGAACTCCGGCTCAAAGCGATAAGCGGAATGTCGTTGCAGCAAGATCTTACACCTTTACAAGAATTGAAGCAGTTAACACAACTGGTGAGGACTCATATTCGTATAAAATTTGCAATTGTTATTAAAACATTATGTATTAGTTTTTATTACATGTAACAATTTTTTATGTTACTTTCGCAGAGTTTAACATCAGTCAGAGAACTTGGGAAGAAGAAAATTGATATTATACAGGCATTAACGAACTTGGAAACACTAGAATTAGGTGAATGTTCCGACTTCCCTGACAAATTTGGAACTAACGTTCTAATCAAATTGAATAAATTAGAACGTCTCAGACTTGAAAAGGGCCAAGGATCCTGTTGTACGTTTAATATTCTCGAAGGTGTATCGAAATTAGAAAATCTGAGTCAGATGGAATTGGTCAATTTTGACGTAAAGAATGGTTTTGACAAATGCCTTGCCAATTGCAAGAACATCAAAAGGTTATTAATTATACCGACTTACATATCACAATCAGCGACATCTAATAACATGGTACTCGGAGGTGTCACAGAATTATCAAATAATTTGACACACTTCGTGTGGGGCGTTACACTCGAATTACTCAGAGTTACGGAATTATTCGTTGATCAGTGCAATCTTACAAACAAACAAGTTAATGGCGATTCTATACCGGTTTTAAAACCAGTCCCTTGTCTAAATTTGGTTAAGAATACCGAAGAGGAAACAGAAAACCAAAAAGGTACGTTCTAAGTTTAAGTGTGACTTAGAGTTCTGTATAATATCGAATGAAACGCAAATATTTACATTTTTATGTAATTATAAATATGATTTTGCAGGTGACAAGTCACAATCGCACCTAACAAGTCCTCAAGTGGACATCCTGCCGCTGCCTCAGTTGCAGAAACTTCTCTTAACCGCATTACCCAAGACTCGAGTCAAAATCTTAAAAATTCCTTTTCACGCTACATGGCGACAAAGCATTTCTGATACCGCCACGTAATAGAGGCGAATAAACTAATACAGAACTAAAATGACACAGATGAAAGTGGTGAGGATATCTTTTATAGATTCTACATCATTTGTGCGCTACAACATTTATGAAAAATTTTTTTAAAAAAGAGAGAAAGAGAGAGAGGGAGAGAGAGAGAGAGAGAGAGACCTTTCTCTATCTTTAACAATAGACTTCTGCACTACGGGCCTGTATCTACGATGCCTAGAAATTAGGTGAAAAAAATTTTTGTGTAAACCGATACAATATAGTAGATGACGAAAATACATATTAAAGAGGTAGTGGCTTCATGAGATCGGTCCTAGTGCGAGAATCCTATTGTATTATGAAATTTTAACAAAGAAATTGCGGAAAAACTTATTGTTATTCTTGTATATAACTGATGTCAAAATTAATATAATTTGTACGCTGATTACGAGAGTCACTAAAACGCGACTGTTTGTTCACAATCAGCCGGTTTGCGGAGAATCATCATAAGGAAATTTCATCCAAATGATCGCTTAGTAAGAAACACCATCGTAGCAAATTCGTAGTAACCAAAGGATTAATCTTCCCTCTACGAACATATCGAATTATTTTAATTTCCTTCTTGTAGTTTGAGTTGCATTGCAAATTATATAGCATATAAAATTCGCGTGCGTTAAACAACTTATATAAAACTTATTTAAATGATACAAGCTATAAGAGCTGTAAACAACTATACACTGGAGGGCACTCGTAAAGTGGAAGAATGTACTTCGAATTAAAAAAATTTAATTTTAAATATATAAGCATTTTCTTTGTACAATTTAATGCCGGATTGTATACATTGATAAGAGATGTAAGAGATGTAGATGTGTGGCACTCTTGTTTTTAAATACACATACAATTTTATGTATACGTATAATAATGAGATAAAAACATTTCGGATAAACAATAAAATCGAAGTACAAAGTATAATTTTATTTCTTTAACCAAACATATTTTGAAAGTTTTACTGTAACTGCTCGAAATGCCGCACTTGTCAGTTGCGACATTGCTCGAGCATTTACAACTTGTCAAAGGCTTATTTTCTCTTAAGACAACAGGTAATGCACTCTCGTATAATTTTTATATTGTAATAAAAATGGTTTTGCACATTTAAGTGTAAATGAAAAAGCAACGCTTCTTCATCTCAAAGTCTTCTCAACAAAAAGTATTCTTCTCTTTTTCGAGTGAACGTTGGAGAGCACATAACTTGTTTGTTCTCCAAGAACGCATTAAAGAACGAAATAAAGAGAATAGTTATACGTAATTTCTTTGTTAAAGTTTCACAATTTGGAAGAGGACTGGATTTGGAGAAAAACAAACATTTTGTATATATATATATTTGTGGTACATACAGTGAGTTTTTTATATATAATCTAAAAAGAATTTTTTTCTAGTAACTCTACAATGTATCGGTACACATTGTACAGCGATGAGAGCAACTACAAATTTAATGTTTTCATGGTGAATACGCGGGACCATGTACGTGCGTCATTTTCACCAGGATAATTGTCAAAGAATATTTTTTTGACGTGACTTAAGTTACTGTGAAAAACAAATTTTCTATCTTTTTTGTACATTATCGACATTATCGACTATATGTTATTCAAGACAGAAAAAAATAGTATAGATTTGTATTGTGCCGAAGTTGCTGTTACGTGTATCCGCGTATTGGAAGTAATTCAACAAGATTACATACAAATTTACGTATATTTTGGACTTGTCATACATTCGTACAATTGCAAATAGGTTTGTTTGATAAGAAGAAAGGGATAAGATGAGTACTTCGGTGAGACTTTTTTCGATCAAGAAGAGAAACGAAAGAGATGTACGAAAATAAAATACGACACGTGTAATTCAAAATTAGATTTGTATGTTTCGCCGATATAAAAACGCCGAAACAAAAACGAACTTAACAAACTTAAGTTTTTATTAAAATAATACAAATGATAAAGTCTTGCGCGCGTATATTTGGCTCTAGATATTAACTGTATATAAAAAAACATGTAATATCATACATGCACATATATATATATATATATATATATATATATATATATAATATATATATAATTTGAAATATATATATATATATATAATATATATATAATTTGAAATTATATATACGTATTTATACATATATATATATGTATACATATAATATCAAAACTCTGTATATCTCTCTCTATATCTTTTCAAGATTTTAGGATATGGAGTTTTCGTTGCAAAGAAAGTAATCCGCAAAATTTGAGACGAGTGTAGGACGTGTAATATATTTATTTTATTGCACAATAATCAAATATAATGTTATTAAAGGTGTCATTGAACATATATATATATATATAAATAATATATATATATAAATAATATATATGTATAAGGAGTACAAAAGGGATATGATAATTGTTCAGCGTTTGTATTATTCATATTCCTTTCAATAAGATACCACGTGTTTCTTTCTTTACTTTGTCATGAAATCCTTTTATACATATAAGAAATATATATTAGAGGAATATAGAGACTTATATTTTATACTAAAATAAAAGAGAGAGAGAGAGAGAGAGAGAGAAACATTATCTTATAATTGTATGCTAAACTTACATTTTAAGCAATATATACAAAGTAGAGATAAATTTGTTTTAAGAAATGTTACACTGTGTAATTTATCTCGCGGTCAAACCCCCCACCATATATTAATTATATGTTCTCGTAGCGTAACATTTTTCATGAATTCTATAATAAATATATTTCCAGCACAATTGTATACGTTATTGTCATTTTTATATTTATCGCAACGTGTGTTTTGTACAATTTTAATAATTTGTCAACATACATATTGGAATTAAAGTAATTTTATATAAAATGTATATTAAAGTATTTTCGACGTTTTTTTCTTTTGAAAAAAATCGGCAATTGGCATTGTTTGTAATAATCTATTTATTTATTTAACTTTTTCAAAATATCGGCTTAGCATTAAATAGCGCTAATAGCGTCTCCTGAAATGAAACCTTGATAGAAACTAAAAATCAATAGAGTGCGGTACTACCTACATACGGGAGAAAATCGTTTGGGGGGAAGCAATTTTGCGCTGATTTTGAGGTTATGTCGTTCATATCGCAACATCCGTGGTGGCGGCCACCAACGGAGGTTCGTACGAGCTATTTTCGTTGTGGCGAAAAGTTTTGCTAGTTGCAGGCGCCGCGCGTTACGCGTTATAATGTATCTGAATGCGAAGAGAGGCCATCAGAGCGCCGTAAGATAGTAGACAAAAATGGGCAGGAGAAAGGCTTGTACATTGTCAAAAGGTAAACAACACGATCCGTCATCGCAGCAGAAGCATTTGTCCACGGCGAAAAGGAACGAGCTCAATGCCCTGTGCGAGAAACTCTTCGATCGTGAGTACATTTTTATTTGCTGAATAAGTTCTGATATTCTTCTTGGGAAAAAATCTCGACTGTGTCTACCCTATTCTAATCCACGATAGAAAATTCTGATTTTAAATGTTACTCCGATGTTATTTTGACATTTTGTAGTAAGCAGCAACCCAGCGTACTTAACGCAATTATGGAACAACTACTTGGATATATCGGAAGTTCTGCTGAAGGTTAAACGCCTGGAGGAAATGAAGACCGAATTGTCCCAGCGATCCCTGGGGATTGGACAATTCATAAATTGGCTCATTGAGAACAAAGCGCGTGTCGATGGTGTGAGCATTGCCGATTTTCCGGGATACGATCTGGGACTGAAGGCAGAGGCTGATTTTGTTCAGAATCAATTGATCTTAGAGATACCAAGGACTCTCATTTTCAGCACACACACCGCAGCATCAGAATTGATTGTTATGCAGAATGATCCTTTAGTGCAGCACATGCCTCAAGTGGCGTTAGCTCTGGCGCTTCTCATAGAAAGACATAAGGAGAACTCCAAATGGAAGCCTTATTTGGACATGCTTCCAAATACTTATAACACAGTTTTATATATGAAGGCTAATGATATGATCGAGCTTAAAGGCAGCCCTACGTTAGGTACGATCAAGTCTTTACATTTTATTTTATCTTTTTTTTTTTTTTATCTTTTTTTTTTATCTTTTAAATAACACATTTACTTATTTATATCTGTGCAGAGGCTGCGTTGAAGCAGTGCCGGAATATCGCAAGACAATATTCCTACTTTAGCAGAGTATTTCAAAGCAATAATAACTCTGTCTCTGCGATACTTAGAGATAATTTTACCTACGAAAGATATTGGTAAGTAATTAAGTAGATCAAAATATTTAAAAAGTAAGGGTGGGCAATAAAATATATTGATTCGAGAGAGAACGTGTGTGATAAAAGTTACACTTTATAAAATATAACGTAACATTATATAAAATACACATATATATATATATATATATATATAGAGCTATAAATAAATAGATCTTATCTTCTTATATATGTGGAAGTTCTGCAGAGCAGCTGTTTGTCATTTACAATCGGAAAAAGTTGAAAGAGTTAGATATTTCATTGTCGCGAATGGAAATATCGAATATATATATAAAATTGTTGTGCCGGTTTAACGATTATTTCGCGTAATCGGGTATCGTTTCCCAGCTATCGTTCGCGTCCAACGAATCGTTGTCCATGTCGCTCTTGCTGTCAAACTCCTCGGCAGAGTTCGCTTCTTGCATTTCGGTCCTGTCGGGTCTCTTGGTCGTTGACGTGGCGACCACGTTGACCATCACAGTGCTCAAGCTGCTGGAATTCGACAACTTCCTTGCCGCCATAACCGGTCCCTGGAACACCGCTCGCGACAGCGTGTTCCTGTACGTGTACTTCTGTTTCTGTTTGATCCGACACACGATGAAGATCGCCAGGAACACGACGAGCGTCAAGCCCAGTATCGCGCCGCTCGCTATTATACTCGGTTTCAGACCCCTCGGCAGAGTTTTCTCCCCGTCATTCTTGCTGCTTATCGTCTCATCGTAAATCGTTCTTATGTCAATAGTGTTCGGCTCCTCCCTCACGATCTCCTCGACGGATCCGACTTGGTGGAACTCGCTGGAGGAATTGTTCGATCGAACAGTCTTCTCTCTGTCGATCATCGCCACACTCACGTTGTACAACGAACCCTTCGCTCTTTGTTCGTCATCGATTTCTGGTTCGAACTGACGCTGCACGTCTTTCGCGAAGGGCAGGGAACCGAACGTTGTGAGCAAATCGACAATCTGCATCGTTCGTCGGGGATTCTCGCCGCGTTCGTTCGCCGCGTCGGTTTCCGAGATAAACGTTGATTCCTTCGACGCGTTTCTGTCGCGCTCAACGAGATCCAACAATCTCGACATCGATCCGTTCTCCGCGTCCTTGTCGAAAAGCGAGTCGTGCAGGTAGCTCACGATGTTCTGCGCGAAGCGATTCATCGTTCTGTCCAGTTCTTGCTTCGTGTCTTCTCGCTCAGTTTTATCTCGATCGGAGTTGCTGTCGGGTGAGAGCGTTACGCTAACTTCTCCGTTGTTCGTGCTGGAAAATTCCAACGTCTGCGGACTTTTCGACTTGGGTACTCTCAGCCTTGACACTTCTGTCAGGTGCACTTTGCTGGAGCCCCTCTGGCGCAGCGCTATCAGCTCCTCCACGCTCATGTTTCTCGATTTCAGGAGACGCTCCAGCCGCTTGCCGGCCGAGCCGGACGCGAACAGCTCGAAGATTTCCGCCCTAGCCTCCGGCTCGATCTCGGAAACGACCTCCTCGTAACGCCTGCTGCCTGTATCTCCTTGATGGTTCTCCGACGCGTGATCGCGATCCATCTTCTCTTCTACCGATTGACTCGTCTGATCATACACGGTCGAGTAATCATCATATTCCTTTTTACCATCAATCGGATTCGCGGTTTGTTTTGTTTCCTCAACCGGCAGAACCGCATCGTCGTTCAACTCATCTTGTTTGTTGTCGTCTTCAGAGATCGGAGTGTCGTTCTGGTACTCGGTCTCGATGAAAGCGTCGTACTCCTCCGCGGAGGAGGATTCGCCGACGCGAACCAACTGACTCTCGTCTTGAATAAAAGTCACTTTTTTGTTGTTGTTGTTATTATCTTCGTTATTTTCACTCTTGTGATCTTTCACGAGTTCTATTCGTTCTGTGGGGTTGAGAATCTGCTCGATGCTCAGAGTGGACTCGGTGTCTCGGTGAGGCGGTTGCGACGGCGCGACTTCGCTCGGCGGACCGACCCAAACCGGTCCTCCCTCCGAGTTCTTGCTCTTCTTGAAGTCCGAGAAGTCCGAGAACTCCATGATCTCTTCTTCGTCGAAGGTCCTCAGCTTTATCGCGCGATTGCTGCTAGTCGTCAATCCAGCGCTTCTGTCGTCGCTTCCCATTGATTTGACGATCGGCGGCACCGTCGATGTTGTAGTATCGTGGACGATCGTGGGAGTAGTCGCTTTCAGCAACGACGAGTCCTGCGCCGATTGCGTCGATATTTTCTCGATCGGATTCTTTTCTTCGGATTCTTCCTTGTCGTTACTCATCTCGTTCGAAGAAATTTGCTCGTAACTTTTCGAAACTTTGTTCGGATTAACTGTAGAAAGATTGTCTAAGATTCTCGAAGCTGACGCAAGTTTTATCGTGGTGCTCTCGAATGTCATGGACGTTTGCGTCGTGGATTTGGTCGGCGTCGCCGTCGTGGCGAGTTTCATCAGCGAGTCGGACATCGCTCTCGACATCTCCTCGATGTACTCGTAAGACTCGTCTGCGTTTCTCGACTTGAGAGCGTTGATCACGTCGGCCTTTCCCTTCAGAAGGTCGGCCAGCGTGAGATTCCTGCGCTGCAGTATCTCCGACAGACTCGAACCTTCCTCTTGCTGCATTTTGAGCAGCATCTTCAGCTCGAGCGTGTTCTCACGATCGTCGTTGGACGGTGTCGAACGATGTTCATCATCAGGATCCCTCATCCGTGACAAGACTCCCGACGAGTTTCTCGATTCGTCGTCACTAATGGAAGGTGCGTCGTTCGCCAGAGCGAATTCGTAATTCTGCGGTGGTCGTCTCTTCCTCGGACGAGGCTTCGAGTACTCCTCGTCACTGAACTCGTGTTCGTACTCGCGCGCCTGAAAAGCCTCGCGATATCTCGACGTGACCTCTTGGTCGTTCAGAGAATCACCTACCAAGTTACGACCGCGCTTCCCGTCGATGCTCGCCGCACTTACGATCGTCTCCCCCGTCGAATCGTGCGGATTCTTCAACGGGCGACGTCTCGCGCGCGGATAATCCTCGTCTATGTCGTCGCGACCATCGTAAGCGACTTCATAGCCATTCGTAGGAAGTTGTCTGTCCGAACTGCCGATTCGAGGACGATTCGATTGATTGAGCATCGCGTAGCGATGCTTGAACAGTCGTCGACCTGTCGGATCCGGAAAACCGTCCTCCTCGGCATCCGCGATCTCTTCGTTCCTTGAATAGGATTGGAATTGAGAAAACGGCAGCAGCGGCACGGAATCGCCGTCGCGCCATTTCGGCTCAAGAGCCTCGCCGTTGTTTCTCCACTTGCCTATCGGCTCGCTTGATCGCTCGCGATCCTCCAGCAATTCTCCGGGCGCTTCCGTGTCGAAATCCGCGAACTCTCCTCGCAACTCCTTCTGAAATAATTAAAAATTGTTTCAAGATAAAATTCAAAACAAATTTGTTTCAGTAACGTAGATTTTATTAAAAAAAAAAAAACTTGATACGTCATTTTTGTATTCGTGGATGAAGCAACGCATCGCGGAAGTGTGCGTGCTGCGAGCGCTATATATATATATATACATATATATATATATCTCTTTCAATTATATGCGTCGGGATCTTTTCCAAGCGATTGAAAGAAGATTCAGCGCTTTTACTTTTGTGTTGCACGCCGGACGCGTGAGAACGCATGAAATACGAGAAGCCGCGTTCTTCCGTTCTCGTTTCCGCGAGGTAAATAAACACGAGTCTTCTGTTAAGTTAATTAGAGAATTATCTTTTCCATAAAGAAGAGAGATACCAAAAGAAAAAAGAACCCTCGCGTTTATCAAAATCTCTCGTTACGCTATTCGCACGCGTTAGACGCGAATAACGTTCGGGTGGCGAACAAGATACGAGGCGTGTGTTTCGTAAGCCGGCGCGCGAAGCTGAATCGATTCATTATCGTTTCTATTTCGTAACTTTGTTAAATACAGGAGAGTTTTTCGTGCTGTCGCGCGTGATTTTCACTTCGCTTTCTCGACGCGAAAGAAGAGAGAGAGAAAAAAAAAGATCGCGTTCCCATTTTCCACGATCTCCGATCTCGCAGAATTTACGATCCGCGTGAGAACGCACTCGCGCGATTATTCTCTCGCGGAGATATACGTGAACGTCGAGACTCACTTCAAAGAAACCGCACTTATTTCGGAGTTTTATTATTATCGTCTCGCGGCGCGCGTTTTGTGCGTCCCGACATTTCGAAACGTGAAATAAATTTTGCGCGTATTCTCTTTTATACGATCTACAATTTTCATTTATTTTATATACAAGTCCGCAATTTGCATTTGCACAGTGTTTTCGGTTTTCTTTGTTCTTTGAACGCGCGCGCTTCTATATACGTTCTTTGTTTTCCATTTCCCGTTCGAGTGTAGGTACTTTTCACAGCGGATTCCGACGGTTAAAACTTTCGTTTGTTCGTCGCGCGTTCTCGCCTTCGCGACGCGAGATTATTAACGGATATATATATATATATATATATACATCCGCGCGACGAAAACACGACAAAACGCTCGTAAAGTCTCGAACTTTCCGCGCGCGCAGCGCGGCCAGCTTTCTCTTTCTCTCGTGGTTTACGCGCGAGTTTTCTCGTCGTCGCGGCGCGCGTCGATCTCGCGGCCAGGCGAATCGACGCATCGGCGAAAAATTCCGGGAGGAAAAGCGCGTTCCGACAGAACGATTTCTCGCTCACGATTTCGGCATACGCCGTGAAAATACGCAACGGCGGAACCACGGAGAATTCAAGCAGACGTACGTATATAAAAGAGATGCGTTTTTTTATGTCAGAAAAACTTTCTCCGAGAACCAGAATATAAAACACACGATGCAAACGTTCAATAGACGAGAGATAATAACGCTCGTTTCTCTCGATGTCGTGGATATATCGATAATTGCGTCGTGTTGCAAAAGAAAAAAAAAACTTTCAAGAGTCCTCAACATTCTACACTTATGTGTAATGTGAGTCACACTTGAGCTTGATGACATCTAATAAACGCAATTACGACGGAATTTGCGTGCGCTCGAACTAAATTAATTTTTATACATCTCGCAAATCGAGAGAGAAGTCTTCGAGGAAAAGAAGATTCAGACGTTTCCCTTCCCATGGTGTATTCGATATTCGGAATCGCTCGGTGTGAAGCGAATGTTCTTGGCAAGCGAACAAGACTCGCATGCGTGCCAGTTGTCACAAAAAATCACGACCGGTTAAAAGTGTCGGAAGAGATTACTTTCGGTTATAGTTATATGGTCATTAACCTTCTCTCTCCTACTTGGGTACTATCACTTTCCGAAAAAGTTACCTCGCATTGTGATCGTGCACAGTTTCTTCGATAACAAACAATTGTTTATTACTGCGTTCAAATATTGTTTACACATATGTTGTTTGTTTAGTATTTTATTTTTAAGAGAAAAGAAAATTTCTCCGCTTTTTTTCATTTAATTAAAGATTGATACGTTTGACAATTGCTGGCAACTTCGAAATCCGTTTCTTTTTTCTTTTCTCGTCAGAAGTGAGGACAACGACGACTTGTTCGAAAGCATCGAAACGTTAAAGTTTCTATCGCGATTACCTGATACTCATAGTCGTCGCTTCGAGCCGCGGCTTCCGGCTTCCTGATCGGATCTCCGTGGACCAGAACGTCGCGCCAACAGTCACACGCGATCAGCGCGAGCACGAGAACCACCTTCCGCATAGTTGCAGCGCGATCAGGAATCTCGATGGTTGTTTGGAACACCGCGATGTTCCTTGCTCGCCGCCGACGCGACACTTCTCCTCGTTGTCCCAGTAGTTAATAAGGTGCACGCAAATTGCCGCAATGAACAAAATCAGAAAAATTGCGTTCTTCCTGTTACACAGACTGAGGATCTCCTCAAAAATCATGCAGGCGAATATTTGCCACTTTATGAATTATTCCCAAATTTCACACAGAATCACAGAAGAAGAATAGAATACAATAGAATATAATACCGTAATGAGATTTCTTCTACTCTATTTGCACTGTAATTATCAACTACACCAAGATAATCATCACGCGTGCAAATCTTTAATTGTATTGTTTTTATTTTTCACGTTCGTGTTCACAAAAAAACTCTTCGAAACTGTTTAAGTTCGGTCCGCGGAGTCGCTTCGTTGTGTCTCGCGATTTCGTTTAACTCCGTTCTCGCTTTATCTAGTTTCTCCTTTGTTTCCCACGTCAAAGAAGCTGCTCGTCGATTTCCGGGCGGAGAACATCGCGATCGGCAACGGATGCGTTCTCCATTTTTCGGCCTAAGCGAAAGAGAGCAACGTCTCTCACTCGCGCACAAAACTTTCGCGCTCGCGCTCGCTCCTCTCTGCGTCCTCGGCAAATAGCCTCCGCGAACTGACACCGCTTTTCTCCGTGCGCGCTCCTAAGTAAGTCGGTGAAACTCGAGAGAAGCAGAGTCTCTTCCATCAACACAACACTCGAACGTATCGCCGCCGCCTGCTCTCGATGAAATGTTATCCGAGTCACGTCGGAGATGCGAATCCGAGAAAAATATTTTATTTACTGATACACCGCCATCATTTGTTACCATCACACCTGTTAGTAGGTGCTATCTATTTATCTGCTTTTACGTTCGCTAATTAGATCGGAACGCGTGATGCAATCCGCGACGAAGAAGCGTCCGTGCGCGTCCGTGCGACTGTCAAATTTTCAAGGAAGGACACAACGCGTTGCCGGAAATCGCGTCACCCGAAAGCATCACGCGTTCTTAAAGAATCTCGGAGAAGGGAAAAGATACGCGTGATCGCTTTCGCAGCATGCGGCACGTGAAAGACAGACCGGCTGGAAGTGTTGTCAAGAAAAACCGTGCGGTTCTCTTTTCGCGAGCGGGAGAACGCGCTTTGCCACTCTCGACACGATATATTCCTCCCGCTTGCCGATAATATCCGCTCGCCGAGGAATCAGCAAAAGTCACGTTTGTCGTCTTGTGACGCGCGTGCTTTCACACGCGGATTCGAATTGTTGTTTTCTCGGCTCGATCGAACAAATCCTGTTCTTTCTTCTTTCAGAGAAATTTGTTTTTTCGATCTCTCATCAAGGATGACAAGTTTTTAATTCGCAATTTGCATATCGAAGACGTCAATAGGTAAAAAAAAAGTGGAAGTGTCCTGTGGAATAAAACTGTCGATTATCTCTCAACCTGTTTTCGCACAATTATAACGCACACGTACACACATTTATGTCTGATGTAATTTCGCGTGAAATTTGTAATTTTATGACGTAAATCGCTGATTATTTAATTACAAGTAACCTTTCGTTGAAATTTTATTTCTATCGCTTTTTTACGAGACACCGTTACTTCATACACTCTATTTTCTCGCGGGTTTCGTTGCAATATTAACGACATATTAATATCGCGATATCGCGCTCAGAAAAACTGGCGGCGGACCTGTTTTTATCTCGCAATCGGATCTCTCGGCTGCATATCTCGCGCACGGGAGTAGTTGACGTTTTCGTGAACTCTTTCGGTCTCGTCGATTCGTAACAATCGTCTCGAAATCGATCTACCGCTCCAAATGAACAATCTAAACTCGAACACATTCGTGGGATTTTAAATATCGATTTCGTTCGGATCACTTTTTTTGAGAAATAGAAAGTAGAATGTGCGATTACGCGTTTGCGCAAAAAACTCTCGGTAAAAACTCGAGTAACATATCTCTTTCCCGAGAAACAGAGAGAGAGAGAGAGAAATGCAAATTCAAACAATTGCAATTTGAAAACAAATACAAAGCTTGTAGAAGTGAATTTAAGCGGCAAAAACTATGGGAGGTGAGTAGGTTGCATCTGCATGGACAATGAGCGATCAAGCGCGCTATTAGCTTGACACGGTTTACTGAAATCAATTTGTAAGAGGAAGAGCTCGATCACGCAACGGGCGCGCAATGGTCGTGCACTCGGATCTTATTATAAGTACTGTGTACAAATGATGAAAATCTCTCTCGGCGAATGAGATTTAACACGCAATCTCTCACGGTGGTAATGTGGTGAAAATCGCGTGTTTCTCCGTACGGAGAGAGAGAGAGAGAGAGAGAGAAAGAGAAAGGAGGAGATAAGGGAGGGGGGAGAGAAGGAGAGAGTGTCGACGAACATCTCAGAACGGACATAGTGGTAATTGCGCCAATAAATCTTCTAGCACGTTCATTTCCGGAATTCTGGGTCAAGTTCCCGCGTGTCCGAAAAATCACACTCGCGGTAAAGTCAACTATGCTCTTTCTCAATTTCCTCGAAGGCGAAAGTCGACGAAGCTCCGGAGATTCGTGCGAGCGCACATGCATTTGTCGTAAGAGTTGATTTCACTTGGAATTGAAGAATCTTTTAGATCAAGCGTCAGTGAATGTCTCAGCTAGTATTTTCTTTCATTAAAAAGCTTCTTAAGCGATACACACTGTGTCGCAAATAAAAATAAACACGAGATGACATTCACTGGTTTATATAAATAAACCAAGTAATGATCGAGTGCACTTGGCGCAAATAATTTTAACTTTATAAGTGTAGTCATAAATATAAAAATAATGTAAATACATATATGACAAGTCTTTGTTAATACAAAAAGAGGAACAATGCATAGTATAAAATTATAAAATATGTTAAAACAATAGAATATTTTGTTACACGCACATAAAGAAAAAGAAATAAAATAAAAAACATATGCTGGGGGTGTGAATAGTAACGTTGAAATAAAATGTTTTCTAGCTGGGCCGTTTCCACAGTGATGACACGACAAAACTTGATTCCGAGTCCGGACGGTTCGCGAATGATCCATGCTTTAATCCCCATGTGGGACATGTGCAATCACGAGAATGGGAGGGTAAGTTACATCTGTCTAGTTAATCTTCTAGGTAAGTTGCACGACTGATAAGCTTGCGTTCGAACGATCGATATGTTCGCTGTTGTTCCTACATACAGATTACGACAGATTTCAACGCGTCGTCGGATCGCTGCGAGTGTTACGCGTTGAGAGATTTCAAAAAAGGGGAGCAAATATTTATAAGTTACGGACCGAGGACGAACTCCGATTTCTTCGTGCACTCGGGCTTTGTCTACATGGATAACGACCAAGTATTTACAATTTTTGATTATTTAAAGAGAGAAAATAAGAATTATACGACTTTTATTGCGCACAATATAAATTTAAAAAAATATATATCATTTACAGGATGGTTTTAAACTTCGCCTTGGCATTAGTAAAGCGGATTCTCTTCAGAAAGAACGAATAGAATTATTAGACAAACTAAATCTGCCGTCGGTAGGGGAATTTTTGTTGAAACCGGGCGCACAACCCGTCTCTGACACGCTATTAGCCTTTTTGCGGGTGTTCAGCATGCGAAAAGCCGAGCTGACGCATTGGCTGCACTCAGACAAGGTCTTTGACCTGAAGTGTATGGACTGTGTACTGGAGACGGTCGTTGAAGAGAACGTAAGAAAATTTCTGCTGACCAGGCTGCAGCTCTTAATCGCTAATTACCCGACGACACTGAAGGTGAAAGTAAAATCCGACTATTGTATTGTTCCGGTTTGCGACTCACTTATTATTATATCAACACGATTGTTTTTCTTATCGCAGGAGGATCTAGAATTATTGGAGCTTACGTTGCCACAGGTAAAAAAAATGGCCGTTCAGCTGAGAGTTACTGAAAAAAGGATTCTTTTGGGTGCGCTTGACTATGTGGAGCAGTGGACAAAGGCTTGAAAGAATCGGCTGGAACTACGATTGAAAGGATCTTTCGAAAGAAATCAATTTTATTTTTACAAATTTTCGAAAGACGATTTTTTCAAGTATAAAAGTAAAATATAAAGGCGCGGACAAATTTATATATATATGTATATATAATTATATATATATATATATATATAATTATACATATAATTACATATATATAATAAAATGTATATATCTATCGCCTACTAAATAATACGCAGATTTTATGCTCGACGTGTGTGGGCGCGTGCTAATTAATAGGAAGCGTAAACCTATTCGAACAACTAACTATGTATCGTATGTACGTCTACATAAGAAATGATGTACAATGTAATTGTACAATAATGGCGTGCTCAGTAAGCATTTTCAATTCCTCGTTCCTTTCGCGTTGGAAGCTTTCAAGTACCGTATTTTCGCATCAGTCCTTTTTTTGTTTTCTCAAATTTTCAACAATCAATCAAACAAATGTGTTACACAATCGAATAATAATTTCAATCAATAACGAGAACTGATACTCCGTACTCGCCTGCTTCGATGTGTAATAATCTACAAAAACGAAGTGATATATATCTGTGTAAAGATATAATATTTATGAATATATTTATTTTTCAAAATGAGAATATACACACATAACAGAGCTGGAATTCTCGATGTAAACTACGATATCGTAGGCCTATACGACGTTAGACTATACTCTGCAAAATATTTTCTGACGCACGTGTGTGTGTGTGTGTGTGTGTACGTGTGTATGTGAGCTCTCGAAGGACCTGCGTAAATATTACCCCTGCGAGACATTTCTTTCAAGTATATAAATCAATTTACGCGAGTATTATTTATTATGAATGTCATCGTGTCTCTCTTAAACTGCGTAATGTTCTTGCATAAATCATAATTCAGTAGGATATGTTGTTTCACAAAAAACAAATAGAATCAATAAAGAGATAAATTATCAAGCTAAATTGTAGCGACGACGAGCCGCTACGATGTAAGCTACAGCAGGACTGATAGCTCCGTAAAAAAATCATGGTTTTTTTTTAAATATATTTCAACATAGATAGAGAGAAAAAAAAGAAAACGACAAAAATATATTATGTAACATACATGTGACATAAAATATATGTGATGAGATTCAAAAATCTATTGTGATCCAATACCATATATAGATATACATATACATATATCTCTCTCTTTCTCACTTTGCATTTTGTAAGAAATCTCAGCACATTTGTGAGACTCACAGAAGTCAGGCGAGTGTCACGTGCGACACGGCGGAACTGTATAAACGTATTATACAAGTTCGATTTATATTTCTTTTATATTTCTTTTATATCCTGGAGAGAAAGAAGAGAGGGAAAAGGGAAAAAGAGAGAAACATATATGTACACTACCGTTAAAAAATCTGGGTATATGCGAGATATTTAAAAATTTCAAATAAAGCCTTAAATTTTCTCTCGAGACATATATAAATTACATTTTTTTAATATAAACGCAATTACATTAATATTTTAATAAATTATAAGAAATATAAAAAAATGTGTCATCGCGTTGTTTCAATTGTTCGTTCCAAAATCGACCTTTGTTAACAGAATCGCACAGACATGCGTCTCTTACACGCGGTCCTAAATTTTTCGACGGTAGTAGCATCGCGCCACAATTCCATTTTCTGCAACTGGATGAAATCCACTGATAAGTTTGTCGAAAAAATATCAACTATTTCGATCGGTGTATTTATAAATATTCATTTATAATTAGCGTACTTCGGGAGTTTTGCTATTCTATAATATAATTTGTGTTTAATAATTGTATTACTATCCCTCTCATCTCCATATATTTTACTCAACGAATAAACAACAGAAAAAGAGAGAAATTGCAATGTGGTCTCTGTAAAATTAACGAGTTTTGTAGTATATAAATCTCGATATTAAAATTGTGTGAAGCAAACGATAACTCTGAAAAAATAGTATTTTATGCATAAGTTGTAAGTCTATAAATTTGTGAACGGCACTTTGTTTCCTTCGACAGTACAGTTTTCAGCATCATATGAGAACGCTCGGGAAGAACGCTGGTTGACGGTAAAAGCTAACAGCTTAGAGAAGAAAACTTGTTGCTTTTGTCATCACAAAACTGATCAGATCTCGCTTTGTCGTTCGCGCGTGCGCGAAGAAGAGAGAGAGATTTTACTGTTTACGATACCGTATCATATTCGGTTTCCTCCTGCAATGATTCGAGTTCGTTACAAGTGTCAAAATAGCTGCTGGAATCCTTAAAGTCAGGAACTACAACGATATCGATCGCATCTCCCTTGAGTACGTAATTGTCGTCCTCCATTCTGTCGTCGTCCTCTTCCACCTTTACGTTTCCTACATCGTGTTCCTCCCTGAGATGCGTGAGAAGGAGCCGCAAGGCGTAAAATATCTTGTCGCATAGATTGCATTGGTACGTCTGGCCGTCAGCGGCGCGCAGACAGTGCATGTAATCCTTCATAGGCTGATAGACCTTTCTGTGCAGAGCCATGTGTTTTTCGTGGTCCATTGAGAGAATAAATTCGTAAGAACAGATGGAACATTTGAGGTTGTGTTTCGTCCACATGGTGTGCACCTTGAGCCGATGGAGACTCTCGTAGACTTCGCCGCAAATTGGACACTTGAGACATGTGTGATTCCGCAAAGTCTCCATGTTCTCGTACATGCCGCTACACTCGTTGCACTGATAGGATTTTTGTTTCCTGCAGGTGTGTTTGAACCAGTGTTTTTCCAATTGAGCCGAAAGGTCAAAGACCAAGTCGCAAACGATGCAGACGAACATCCCGTGATGATCACGCTTGAGGCTTGTGTCGAATCGATTGCAGATAATCGAGCACTGATAATGTCTCTCGTAATTGTCCTTGCGTAGCAAACTCTCGTTGCATGATTCGCATTGGTTTTGATGCTTGGTCAAGTGAGCAAACAACATTCCGAGCTCCGTGTTGCAATAATTACAAAAATTGCACATGTAATTTCCCTCTCTCGTTGTGTTGTGCACATGAGAGAGCAAATGCCTCTGATACGTATTCGGACTGAAGAAAGTCGCGCCGCACGCCGGGCATTTTAGATAAGGTCTCTTCTTATCCGTATAGTGCAGAGACAAAGGATTCATCTTCCTCACCCATTTCTTATCTCTTTTGATCTTTGCTGAATTGATGTACGAGATGTCCTCGATCTTGGGAATGCGTTCGAGTCCCTCGGACGACGCGCTCTGTCCAATTTCATCGTACGTTGACTGATCGGCTTCGCCTGCTTCAAACTTCTGCAAGAATAACATCTTCCATCGACCGTTCATCTGACTGATGTTGGAAATTGTTTGCGCACTCTGTTTCCAGAATTCCTCTACTTCTTTTTTTATAGCCTCCGGAGGCATGATGTAGTCGTCCTCGTTGGACCCAGACGGTTCTTCTTCCAACTCCGAGGATACATTGGAAGAGAGTACACGATCCTTCTCGAGATACAAAAGATTCACCGGGGTCTCTTCTTCCGGAGGCTCGATCTTGCGCGGGAGAGACTCCTCGACGCTGCTTCTCAGCTTTCGTTCATCGGCAGTGGTGTGTTGATTATTCTTCTTGTGACTCCTGCTTTTCTTGTCTCTCGAGCTCTTTTTCGCTCTCTTGGGCATGTTTTTTTTCGCATTCAATTTCATCTAATTCTTTTAAATTCTATCAGTTTTTAAATCGCGTCGCCTCATTTTATACTCAGTGAATGACAGTGTACGTGATACGATCGTGTACGCACGCACATCGGATCATCGAATACACACATCGCGACATAACCTGGATTCCGAGCGTAACCTGTAATTGCCGGAAGCAAGAAACAGTGAGAGGAGAACAAATTTTTCGCGTCATATCAGAATTTACAAGTGATATTCGTGTATACTCACGTGTTATATACAGAGAGATTACCTATCGATGACAGTATTGTGTCACTCTTCGCAACGACTCGATCACGTTTTCTTTTTTTTTTTTTTCTTTTTTTTTTGAAGCCTGAATTATTCCGCGTACCTTTCGATCTATCCCCTTATTGCGTACTTTCAAAGAAAAGCGCAAAAATGCTCGAAGAGCACGGAGGAATGTCGATCGTTCGTTTGTTGTGCAAAACTAAAAGACATTTGACGTTTTCTCGTCGACAAAATCAGATCAGCTGTTTCTATCCAAACGAGCTCACAGAGAGAAGCTGACAGATTCTCTTCCCGAACGAAGACGGGATAGAGTAGAAAGTTCACGTACGTACGCGTGTACTACGATCAATGCCAACTGTCGGCTCGGACGCACAATTAAAAACAATGTGAACGTTTTTTGATAAAATCAATATATCTGTCAAAAAATTAAATGTCCATATCTCCCCTCATATAGCTCAAGTTTCCCGCATAACTTAAAGTCACGGATTTTCATAACTTAAGTATTCCCCTCTCGTCGCCGCCCCACTACCGTACATACGCAAGCCGATCCCGCACAAAAGGGACATAAAACCCGACGTACGCATGTCAAACACGATTCTTGCCGAAGAGTGGGGGAATAGCGGGGAAACTTATGCGGAATAATGAGCCTCCGATCACTTAAGGCGCATTCCGACAAAGAAAGAAATAGCGGAACGGTATAACGGAAAAGAGATACGGTGGAGAAGCAGCCAGTCAGAATAACCCAGTCCGTTCAGACTGGGTTTTTCACTGTTAAGTAACGAAAAAAAAAAAACGAAACAATTCCTAAAAGTTTATTAAACGTTAAAAATTTTGTTATTTGCGTTCTAGTTTCGGGGAACTCTCAGTCGCCGAAAAATGGAACAAAAGTGAAACGGAATTGCTCTCACTGGTCACTTCCTCGCCTCTCTTTTATCTTATCGTTTTGTTTCGCTATTTCTTTTTCCGTCTCCAGGATACACCCTTAACTAAGTGAAGGATTCTAATGTATGATCCAAAACATTTTAATAAATATTGTTAACATAATGTGGAATATGCAAATATATTTGTATTAAACTAAAGTTTATAACATGCGAACAAATCGATATACATATTATTGATTGTTGCTGCTATAGGATGTTTCAAAATGCAAGCATTCTTAAAAAAAGAAGCAACTTTTTCTTTACCAAATTCACATCCGCCTAGAAGTTTTTTTTAGAAGAAGAGCAACTGAAATATTCTCGCAATTTGTAAACAATATTTCGTGCTGACAACTTGTATGTTTAAAAAAGTAAAATCACGTGACTTTTCGTTAGTCACGTGTCTATAAAAACGTGACTAAAATAAAGTCACATGACTGCAAAAACGTGACTAAAGTCACGTGACAGAGAGGAGAGGAAAAACAACACGTGACTAAAGTCATGTGACTTTACGTAATTACGTGTCTATAAAAAACGATAACATATACATACTAAAGATTGCTAAAAAAAAGACCCGAACGTCTCCGTTGATTAAAAAAGACCATTGCAATGCGAACCGCTTACGCGACCAGCTCGAACGGAGCTCTGTAATCACAGTTCTGGTGCAGATTAGTGCAGCTCCTGTAAAGTAAAAACCAACACACCTGCGGATAGACTTATTGTCGCTTGTTGTTGCTTGGTTGCATCGATGACCATTGATGACAGGACGATAACAAATTTGTTTGATCTTGCAATTAAACATGACAGAAACAGAGAATCTTCTAGAACATAAACAATAGCCACAGGTTTTGCAAACCGAGTACTGTTAATCGCCAACAATTATAATCTTCCGTAAATAATTCCGCATGTTATTAAATTTATAACAATGTTTTGTAGGAATTCACGAGTTCTTCCTTAGATCTATTATAAACTGTATATTTTCTTAAAAAAAAATAGTAACACGCAACATATAGAATATGCATGTAACGCAAGACTAGCTACTATTTTAAATAAATAATTTTCCGCATAAAAAAAGAGGATCTTGTTATTTCATCCGCATTACATACTCTTCTATTTTATAATAGAAACTAGAAAGTATATATTTTATTTTTTTTTATAAGAAAGTAACAATTTTTCTTTTTTTTTTTTATCTCACTTGATTGTTTTACAACTTGCTCACATCATATAATAGTGATGTATGAAAAATTGTAATTTTTCTCTTGCTAATTTTGTGTCTTGGCAGCAATTATTTATTTATTTTATCACAGAAGAAAAGAGCGAAGGAGACAGAGAACGTTTTTAATTTTCAGATTCTGTAGAATCTGAAAATTTAACTTGTATGCACATTTCTTTAGGTAAGAAATAATAAATAAGAGAAAAAACTTTTGTAGATATTTTTTAATGCGCGCGAGCACGCATGGAGCACGCACGCACGTACATAAAAAAATGGCTCCATAAATTTAAACAATTATATATATGACAATATTTTTTTTACATGTAACTTCTTTTCCATTTAGATATGATTAAAAATATTTTAAAATGTGTATGAACTTCACTCAATTCAGTCTTCTGCCAAGAAGGAGAAATGGCCTTTGTCAATATGGATATGTCCTGTTAATGCTCGTGTGCATGCTCTTTGCGTCTATTCAACCACATATTGGCGGAACAAATGGTATGTATACAATTAAATTTATTTGTAAAACATATATAATTTTACACACTTAAAAAGAATAAGTTTATGTTTTTACATATTACAGTGTTGTAGTTTTTTTTTTTTTATTGCAGGCATAATTCACGGCAACTTTATTATTCGCTACATTGCTGTGCCTTTAATATATTTAGAAGCTGGACTATTCTGTGACATAAAGTCTCTTTATTTGACATTGAGAGACGGTTATCTTCTGACATTTGTGATGACTTTCACATACATTTTGATGCCATTTCTAGCACGAATAGGAACGAATTTACTGAGATACGCAAACGTAAATACATGGCTACTCAAAGGAATGGAGGTGTGGACTCCTAATACACGTTTTGAATTTCTACAAAAGAATTGCACAAAGAGTTGCAATTTATTATCGTTATTTCTTTTCTCTAGGTACTTTACTGCATGCCGCCACCGTTTAGTACAGGTCTCATTTTGTGCCGTTTAGCACAGGCTGATTTGCCTACAAGTGTAATCACTACATTGGTATCACACTTTGGAGGATTGTTTTTGTCTCCAGTTTTACTATATATTATGGTAAGTTTCTGTTCATCTCAGTATGATAATATATAAATTTCACTTATGTTTTTATATGTATTTATGTCACACATTATTCATTGCATGACTTAGTCCGCTTGTTTGTTTAAAAAACTTACATCTTTTTTGTCCCAAAAGTACTTTCTCTGTAACACAGTTAGGAATATCCGCTCCACCACTAGTTGGGATTAATCTCAGAGAAACCGTGTTCAGCACGCTTGTCCCTTTGGGCGCAGGTATCATATTGCGATCGTTCGTATTGAAAGACAGATTTTCAAGTATCAGCACGGAAAGATTATCTCAAGGATTATTGTTGGTGATAACTTATCATTGGTTCTGCGATGCTGTCTTGACGGATGCCTCATCGTTGCAAACAGTAGACATACTGTTTTGTGTACTTCTTGGTAAACTATTTTGCTTCTTGATTTTTTTAAAATAGAATTTCCCATTCTATATACTTATAATCACATATATTTTTTCAAGCATGTATAGGCCAGCTCCTGTTTAGCAGTTTATGTTGGATCTTGTGCTCTTGGTGGTTACCGCGAAATATTTTGCTAGCCGCATTATTCACTAGCACTCACAAGTCCGTCGGTCTCGGTGGTTGGATCTTACGAGGGGCATATCACGGCTCGGCTCACGGTCCAGCAGTGAATTTACCTCTGACAATATTGCCTGTTGCACAATTATTGTTAGGTAGTTTGTTAGCTAGTTGGTTGACTCCATACAAGAAATTTAGAGACAATAGTGTTATAAAACAGAGTTCACTTCTTGGTAATTAGATTTATGTATTAGTTATATAGAGTTGTTAAATCGCACACAACACTCACTTTAGATAGAAACAAATCGATTCTCTCTAAAAATATTACAAATTTTTTAGTAATAAAGTTGACTAAAACACTTAGCAATAAATTAACCAAAAGGCTGTGCGCGTAAAATAAAGAGTACATATACAAAAAAAAAAGAAAAGAATAACTTGTATAAATGTTACATTAACGTATCAATTCTTACTTTATTTGGACACTTTTTTTTTACAGAATATCGATTATATACTGGGTACTCAATGTGAGAAAATCAATTTCACATTTCACACATCAGACAATTTTATTCATTTTCAATGAAATTATATTTGGAATGATTGATTTCTTTTTTTTTTGTTTGAAAAAATTAATCTCGTATGTTGAATATTTAGTAGATTATTTACAATTGTTATTGTGTATAATTCGATACTTACCTTGAGACTGGATGGAATGGTTTTGTGTGTAAGAATCATGTATAGTCGTTTTATAATCTGGATTCAAAGACTTTATGTATAAATAAGACGCGAATATCATTTGATTGACTTCCAGCAATCTAATTCATTGACATCTGTTGAAAAGAAACATCATAGGAATGATACATTGTACTGCTCATTATTATAAGAACCGTTTTTTTTTTTTTTTTTTTTGAATAGATACAATATAGGTAAAAGTCAACAGCCAATCGAGTGAAATATATATGTTATATATATATGCATATATGTATATACATATATATTCGACTTATCGTTGAATCATACAATATGGATACCTAATTCCTATCGTAAGTTACAAATATAGTTTCCTCATCTTCGAATGAAAAAATTTCGAATGTCTTCGAAATTACATATCTTCTTCGAAGCTTCTACTTATACTCTAAACTCCATCTATTTGAGTAACGAGTCTCTTAAACAACAAAAGCTAAGACAACGATCCGAGTGCTACGTACAAAAGAAGAGGACTCACAAGTTAGAATAAGATTTGCTTCCCATACAAAACATAGCGATTTTATTCTACAAATAATGGGATAAATTGTAGTTTTACTGATTTCTGTCGGAAACTCTTATGTCGAGTTACTTTTCTTTTTTCTCTTTTTTTTTTTTTAAATCTATTTTGCGACGTGCGATCTCAATATAGTACATCGTTCGTCGACGGTGCGCACGTATATTATATTCAATAATATTAACAAATAGTGTGTAACACTCATTAGAGACATTAACGCTGAGCACGATGTAAACCGATTTCTTTGTGAAGATCATGGCAATGAATGCATCAAACAGCGGTGCAGCAAATGTAGGCGTAAAAGGGTTGTGTACGATCGACCCGGATGATCACGCTGTTGTTTGACACCAAGCTCCTGTCACAAGCGGCGCTGACGCTGACTCTGACGCTGCTATCGTCGCCAGCTACGCGATTCGCCATCCTCGTCTTCTTCCTCTTCGTTCTCTTCAAGAAGCAACGCCTCGGCCGTGCCCTAGAAAATCAATTCACATCTATCTGATGATATCCGCTTTGTTTATCCAAAACTATAACATGTGCCGCATACGTATTATAAACAAATTTTTACACGAAGCTCACAGAGAGGAAGAGAACAAAAAGTTTTCCTATTAAATATCTTCTCGAACATATTTGCAAATATCCAAATAAAAGCCGTAGATGAGAGAAGTCTTCGATTATAATGAAATGTTAAGTATGTGTATCTTGACACACAAATTCAAATTTTAAATCCCCATATCTCCTATTAGGAAATATTCTCAATTAATGTTTGAGAATAAAATTACCATCTCTCACTACACACATACTTTGAGTCATTGAGAAAATAAAAAAAATAAAGTTCTCTTGTGTTCTAACTCACTTCTAAGTCAATATCTTCGTCCGTGGCTGGTGCGGGTTCGGAACGCGATGAGAGTTGCACAGATGCGTTTGAGTTACTACCAGATCCACCACGATGTAAATGATGACCAGATACCCAAGTTATCGACAACAATCTATCTTGAAATGTGCGTCCTTTTACCAAGGCAACTTCAGCCTCTTTTCTTGATTTGAAAGTGATTACGATCGAAGGAGTCGCATCGTCTACTATTTGATTCACTATTTCGCCGAATTGCTGAAACAAAAAAAAAAGTGACAACATTAATTGCACGCAATTCAGAAAACATCACGCGGGCAAAAATAAAACAAAATAAATTTATATCTTACTTGAAAATGCGCTAAAACATCCGCCTTCTCTTCGGTTTCATAACCGGAGACTAGGAGACTAGTTGGCCTGTGATCTACCGAGACATGAGCGAAATTTCCTCTGCCGCGACCTCTGTACGATATTATATGAGTACTGCGTGCGACTCGATTGGTTCTCGCACCTCTACCAACACCGGAATTCGTGTTAAGACCTAACGCGGCTGCTTGGGCTCGAAGCTCGTTTAATCTTTTTTGTAATTCTCCAGCGTCCTGACCTTCCTGTTGTGCGGTCATCAAATCCAATTCAGCGTCTAATATCTCCTTCTGTGTTTGTTCTCTAGACTTCACCTGCGATTTGTTGCCACTAATTTGACCGTTCGCAGCGAGATCCTTGCGCAGTTTGTCGACAGTTTGCTGCATATTCTTTATCGTTGGCATGATTGAATCCTTCTGTTCCGGATTTTTTTCCGCCCTTTCAATCAAAGCGCGTAATTCGATCAAATGTTTGTCCAGTAACTCTTGTTTTCTTTTCCTCAAGTCAGCTGTTAGCTTCATAGCTTCCTTGCGTTTCTCTTCCTGTTTTTTCTTCAAAGTTTCCTTGGCTGCCAATATCTCTTGCGACTTCTTTATTGCTAGAACTTTGTCCTCCCGAGTAGGAACGACGGCGACAGTTTTGGGTGAAGTTGGAACTACAGCTTGCGTGACTTGTTCCTCGGTCAACCGGCGCGTAGGAACATATTCGTTATCTTCAGTTTTCACTGGTGTTGTTACAGCGGCGCCTAATCTTTCTTTCACAGAAGGGCGAGGATTTCCTATATACAAGATATGTGATATTGTATATTAATCATGTGTGGGATTTGTAATAGATTTTATGATTGAAAGAGTAATATACTTACCCGGTGGCACATTTTCGATTGCTCCACCAGCCGCGTTATTGTTGACATTATTATGCCAAAATACTTTAATAAATCTATTATTACACACAGCCTCTGTACTTCTGTAAGCAGCCTTTGCTTCGGCTGGCAGCTGGAAAGTAACTAACGCTGCCTCGGGATCGCCACCGAAGTTAACTTGAATATTTACAATTTTACCGAACTTAGAGAAGTGGTTGTTTAACTGTGTTATATTGTTCGCGCTTGCTGGAACTTTTTTCAACTCGAGAGAGCAGTTCACCGGATTGTGAACCACTCTTTGTTTCGGTCCTAAACGATTAAAGTCAAATGGTTGTTTGCGCTTCAGCGGATTGCTTTGACCATGAGTTATCTCCGACGTGTTTGTGTGAGTTGGTAAAACCGGCACGCTAATCAGTTCTCTTTGTCCTCTGCTGTAAATACCAGGTGCAGGTTGGGTATGTCTGCCCCATGGCATGCGCGGTTCCATGCTCGGCGCATCCGGATTATACTCTGCGAAAGCATCTAATACATTCGATTCGTTATAAATTTTAGAGAATGTCACGTACTGGATTTGTGAATTATAATTAAATAATTTATTCTTTTTTATGTGAACACATGAAATAATTTGAGTGTTGCATTTTTTATGGAAAAGTAGAGACATACCCATGTTAGAATGGTGATTTCTCAAATGAGGTGGTGGCAAACTGGCAAGAGGCAAGTGTGGTGGTGGAGGGTTACCATTGGGTCCTTGTGGTGGTTCTGGCACAGTAGCTACTGGAACAGTTCCTGGAGCTTGAGCGCCGTGTGGACCAAAACTCAAAACTCGAGTTAGCGCCACATCTTCCAATACAACTGGATCTGTACCATGATCATAAGGACAAAGATCTCCTCTCATGCAATATCCTTTTTCTGTAAATGCGAATAAAAATGTTATTTATTTTCAATATAATCGATTCGCGAGAATAAGTATTTTCATCCTTTTCAAACAACAGTTATGTGTTTTTGAGATACGTACCGTCAAAATCTCTACAACGTCTTTTTGCTTGTGGCGGAAATGAACTTGTCTGGTTATTTGGAATACTACTTGCAGCGACAACGCTTTGTATCGATTGACTAGTCGTAGACAGTCTCATGTCTACATCTCCATGATTACTGTCTTGAGTTGGTGTACCACCACCGGGACTCCCTTCAATTCGATCCATTCTATCTATTTCCATTCTATCGAAGCGATCAATTTTCTTCCGCTCTATTGATCTTGAACGCGATCGAGATCGAAGGGGAGTTGGAGATCTATTTCTAAATCTTGCTCGATGATCGCGGTCCGGACCATCGCGCATTCTAGGTCGAATTGGTGATGTACTGCGACTTCTAGTACGTCTAAACAATAATAACAATTGACGATTGAAAAGTTGTTCCAAAACTCTTGAAGAAAATTGAAACTATAATATTTCGCGTTTAAAATTGAAACTGTTAGTATAAAAACAGCTGTTTGCTTAGAAATAGCAGTGTTTGAATAAATTACTCGCAGTTGCTTGAAACAATCGGGGAATTATTAACATCTGATTAAATACAGTTCTTAGTGAAGATTTTAAGAATATCTAATATATTATAATATTGTAATATAATTTTACATTAATCCAAGTTATATATCCCTTTATATTATGTTTAATATAACAGTTATATTAAACATAATCGCACCTGCGATCATGTCGTCTAGTGCTCATAGGTGGAGATTCATTTCTCCATGGTCGACTTCTGTCTCTATCTCGTCGGATATGTTCTCTACTTCTGGATCTACGTCTATCTCTTTCCCAGGATCGTGATCGTGAGCGCGTTCTCGATCTCATCCTGCCACTCCTATATAATGTGATATTCAAAATCACAAAATTTTCGAATTTCACAAAAGCTTTTTCGCAAAAAAGAAAACCATGTTATTATTTAAGTTTCTTTTTTTAACTAATAACGTACCTGCTTCGAGAACGTTTCTCCTTTTCTTTATCCTTATCTGAATCGGATTTTCTAGCTTCTCGTTTAATAACAGGGGCAGATCCGTTTATTTGAAGTGGAGCGGGATTCGAAATCAAAGGTACCAGCGGAATTGTCGTATCCATTATCTTTTCTGTTGATGATGACACAACTGGTGCTGGTGGATTTGTGCCAGGTGGTGTTCCACCACCACCATCTGGATCGGTCTTAGTAACCGGTAAAATATACTCCTGATTTTCCAATGTTTTGAAAAGCAGTTCCACAAAACTTTTGGTTTCTGGAAGCAGTATAAATAAATATATTTTAACCAATATATCGAATTTTATCCAATATCACTACATTAGATAAACATACCTTGCTGTAGAAATACATCTAATTGTTCAACCATGCAACCTCGCAATTCTTCTAAAGTTTTGTCTTTCTTAACCAATGCGTACACATATTTAGCCAGAGCAGCAGGATCAGCGTCACACCTTCATAGAAGAAAGTAAATGGCTTAAGTAATGTTTTGCAATTATATAAGCTTACACAGCTAACTTTAATTCAGTTTTCTATTATATGTTTCATGAAAGATGGAACTTATAGTATTTAAGACTATCTTTTAGATAAAAGTTTATTGTGTATATATATGTGTGTGTGTGTCTGCAAATAAAACATTTAAAAAATTACAAGCTACAAATTGCAGAATAAATTCTGGAATAACAAGCATTACGTGTCATTATATAAATCAATTGGTATCTGTCCGCAGATACTCAAAACAAATAAGTTTATAAGTTTAGAACGAGAAGTTTATTACTGAAATAACAATCTAATTTATATCTAAACGATCGAGAAAACATTTTTCACACACATTATTCGAATTATCATCTTAAAAAACATGAAGAGATCTTAACCTTAATATTATCTCACAAACCGCAATTGTAAATGTCGAAAATAGCGAAATAACACACGTATACAATCTAATAGTACGATGCGTATTACAATTACAGATTTCGTGATATTTCTTAGACCAAAGATGAGCGATACTCTGGTTTCAAAATTTTATGACGCGCCTAATTGACAAATCGACTTATTTAACCGCACACACAAGTTGAGTAACCGTCAGACTCACCGGCAAAGTTAAATAACGTTTCAACGCGCGTACAAAGGTTGGTCTAGGGAGAACTCGCGGCCGAGTCAGGCAGGGGGTGATAATCGGCAATACCCCATGTAAATATCGTATACTGGGGGAGAACGAAGCGTACCACATGTACGGCCACTTACACATCGGACGTGTGCGTACATACACTCATACGGACGCATACACACGTTACACATATGTATGTATATATACATATATATATATATATACACACACGAGGATACACACTCCGAACAAGCTGGCCTACTTACAACGGCTCCAGGACGGCGGTGAGCCATGCCTTGAATTGCTCCGGATTGTCGATGATCATTCTCAGCGTGTTCCGTTTTACGAATGCACAGGCAGCTTCGTTAACACGCGTAGATTACACCGACTGCCAGAAGCGAAAAGAGATACTCTCGTAAGTAAAGACAGTCGCCATTGTGAAATCAGTTCAATCCTTGTATATGCAACGCGCTTTCGGAAACGCAACTGAGATTCAGAAAAATTGCACGGGAACGATACTGCCATCTAGCGCCGTTGTTGGGTCGAGATCTCAATCACATCATCTCCGGCCAATAGAAGCTCGAATACGATCTATGTTTATACGACGATACGCGGATATTAAGGCCGGTGTTCATCGCTTCGAGTTGGTTTGAGAAAACTGCAACCGTTGAAAACTAGAAAAATAAACCAATAGACAATAAGCACAAAGCACTTGGTGTTGTTCGGCAGAACAATTGCTGAATTATCGTCAGGATTCAAATTATTTTGCCAACACTCGATGTTGATTTATTGGTTCTGAGAGCCAATCACGTTCGACGGCTGCAAAACCGTTTGGCTGAACGCAGTCACTGAATTCTGTGCCGAGTGAATTTGAAGCATTTTGAACGCGTTGTCCACTGTTTTCGCGACATAGGATATTTTGATCATTTGTTGCTCGAATGTGCTCGATGTGATATAAGCGTTAAGACAAAGGATCGAGAAATTTCGAGATCATCAGATTTACGTTATGTTTATTATTTAAGCGTGACATTTAAACAAAAAGAACATAATGGACGCTGATGATGTTGCTACAAAAACTGACTGCAACAAGGTAAGTGTAACCTCATTTTGTATCAGATCAAAACAACTAAAGAATACGGAGTTGAAGAGAACACATTAAAAATCAATAAAATTCTCAACAAGATCAAGTAATTGATTTGATTTTTACTTATAGATGCCCGTTCCAAAAATAAAGCATGACTGGTATCAGACAGATTCGCACGTCATTGTGACAATACTTGCGAAAAATGCAGGAAATGTGAAAGTTGCATGTGAAAATAACGCAGTGTGTATATTATTACTATTATTTATAAAATTGTTTATATTAAGGAATAAACATAAGATTAGCAATATTCTGAAAAAGATATGAATTACAATGTCATATCTGATCAATATAATTTTGCAGCTGAGTGTATCTGCAAAATTACCCTCTGGTAATGAATATAGTTTAGAGATTGATCTGGCACATCCAATAGTAAACGAACAATGCGCATACAAAGTGTTACCATCCAAAATAGAAATAAAGCTGAAAAAACAAGATGGTATTCGATGGACAGTGTTAGAAGGAGTTAATGTAGAATCAAATCAAAAAGTAAAACCTATTCCAAGAGGTAAGTTTTGCATTAACTCTAAATTTATAATTCTGTAATTTTTAAACAAATGTTCTAAATTTGATATATTTTATTTATTAATCTGACTTAAGTGTACAGGTATAACAAAACATTTTTTAATCAGCTGATTTTGTAATACAAATGGTATATGTTTTATTTACATTTTGTTGTGGTATATACATATTTTACTATAATTGTATACACTATGTACGCATACATACATTCACTACACTATATATACATTCCGTTACTTTATAAAATGAAATCACATGAATGAGACAGAAGAAACACAATCATCCACAATATATATATTATTTATATGTATGAATAATGTTATTTAAGAAATATTGGAGGGTCAACAACCGCCCAAATATCCAAGTTCTTGTAAAATATACAGAGATTGGGATAAATTGCAAAAAATGATAGAAAAAGAGGCAACGGAAGAACCAGAAGGTGAAGCAGCTGTGAACGCTCTCTTCCAAAAAATATACGGGAGCGGATCAGATGATGTTCGTAAAGCCATGAACAAATCATTTGTAAGTAAAAGTTTGCTTTGACAAATTTAATTATAGTAAATAACAGGTTAAAAAATAACAGTTCGATATTGAACACTGGACAATTCTTTTGTTACAAAAATGTCTGTTTATAAAATGTTACGCAACTATTGTAATGTATATTTTTTGCAAACAACAATTATTTGTTAAACATTTGTAATATTTTTTGATGTTGCAGATTGAATCAGGCGGTACTGTACTCAGCACAAATTGGGAAGAAGTGAAAAAAGACAAAGTTGACAGAAAACCACCTGATGGAATGGAGTGGAAATCTTGGAATTCATAAAAAAAAAAATATTAACTTTTTATTTTGTGTATATAGTAATTATTTACTAATTCTCATTTACTATAAGATATAATTTTGACAATCACTTTTCGAAAGTATTATATTTTACCATTTATTCTTTTACTATACACATTAATACACATTAATAAATACACATTATTAGTATCATGGATTATAATAAACCGCAAATTCTTGCCTTTTTGTATGTTGAATGTTATTTTACTCAATTGTAAATTGTGCAATGTAAAGTTACATTATTTTATGACGTTTATAAACGACTAATCCATCAATTGAGACAATAGTATTTGGCAATAAGGCAATAACACTAATATATTAGACAACAAATAACGATTATTTAATGATGTGTATAAAGTGTTTGTCTAGTTGTGAAACAATTTTACCACGTATGATCCGCATCCGTAAATTCCCTTTACAACATAAATAGGACTATAAAGTAACAAATTCGCTGACTTCTTTGCAGAAGTTATAAGAACATTGGATGAATCGGATGTATCTTTTTTTTTATTTGCCTTTGCTTCAGTAGCATCCACTGACTGTTGTAACACTTTATCATTAAATGAAGCAATCATGGTTTTGATCTCAGACAACTGATTTGTGTTCGCTTGAAAAAAGTATTCATTCTTCTTTTCTGTTTTTTTTATAGTATTTCGTACATCCGATATTCTCTGATTGTTAAGTATCATTGATCCCATTAATGATACAATTGCTACTAAGGCCGATGCAATGATAGATAAATACTTGTACTTCTGCGCATTTAAATTCTGACTATCATGATATTCCTTGATAGCTGTAGCTAAATGCACAAAATAATCCCTCTCTTCCTTCTCCGTTAAAACAAGCTGATTAATGATCTTTTTTTGTTCCTGTAGATGTTTGTTTTCCATTATTGTTAAATTCACATATTTTGGATCATCTCGTTTTATCTGAATTAGTTCACCATAGATTTCTTGTAATCTTTGAGTAATATCTGTTAATTCTTTATTCAGAGTTCTTCTATTGTCCTGACACTCAAACAACTTATCCTGTATGACAACCACTTGTCTCTTGGCCGCTTCTACGGCGTTTAGTCCTGTCAATTGGCTGTACCACTGCCACCATTTCACAATTTTTCCAGGTAATGGTTGTTCCAATCCTTTAGCATTTAAATCTTGTGTGATAGTAATCTGATCGTTAATTTTCTATAAAAAAAAAAAAATATTCTAATAATTTACTAATAAAAACTATTTTACACAAGATTTTCTTAAACAAAATATTTTCAGTAGATTTATTATAATTTTCTCTGTTTTTTACATATATTTAACGCTTACTTTTACAATTACATTATATTTTTCGTTCGCAATATTTTGAACATTGGAGAATCTGCTTTGCGTTTTCTCCGCGGCACTTCCGACAATCTCTTTCGCATTGTGAAACACGCCGTATTCTTTCACTTGTTTACTTATAGAGTTAAATAATTGCTGGTAATGCTTCGTTTTCATTATATACAGTAAGGAATAAGTGTCACATATAAATAAATTGCATAGCACCCCAATTACATGCTGACGTGCGGCAAGATTGGTCGACATATACAGTTTAGAAAAGCAAACTGAGGTTAACCCTAACTTAACCTAACCTACGGCTGGAAGCCGAAAGATACGGCGGATGTAATTTCTACTACGTTTCACTTTGCAGTCTGTCGTTACGTAGTCGGACACAGTGTACTTTTAACGCTTAATAATTCTCTCTTGCGGAGCAAAGCGACATTTTTTATATTATTGAAACTTTATATTTTGCATAAAAATCGTTTGATCAATCGTTATCAAACTCTACGAGATAGTCATCTAAACAAAATGATCGTCAAAAAAGTTGACTAATTGAGTAAAATGTGTTAAGATTGAAGAACCAGAAAAATGTCAGAATCCACAGACAATCAAATTGAACAATGCGACATAGTTCTTCCGAGACATGGTTTGTTGTATCAAGAAGATGTGTCGAACTACATACTCTGTAAACCAAAGTTGATTCCTCTAAAATTAGTCACTCTGGAGAAACTCGAAAAGATGCAGAAGGATGCGGAAACAAAAGTTAGAGAGGCTCAAAAAGCAGAAATTGATTCTGACATAAATACATAAATCTACTATTTGGATAATTTAAGAATTGTAGCATTTATTAGATCTCACTTTTGTGTAAAAAGATTGTCATTTTTGAAGAAAGTCATGATACATATATGTATCAGCTAAAAAGAGTATTCTCTAAAAATTCACAGTTTAAATGTTACAGATTGTCTTTGTATTGATAGCTATAGGGCTTTTCTGTTAATCACTTTAAGGTATGTTTAGATGATTTTTTTTTTTTTTTCTATAATTATGCATTGTAACCTGGTTCTTATTTTTGCAGACTATAGTTGAATAATATAAAATAATATAGTCGTCACACACACAGCACTCTACATTAACGGTACAGTTTGTATACTGCTGAAAACAATGATAAAAAATAGTAAAGTTTATTGGCTTAAGAATTTATCTTCAAATTTGTAAAGAAAATATCTTCATATAAGCCACAGGTACTGGCACAGTATATAAAACTCTTAAGAATCTTATTGTATCTGATGGTAGATGTAAAAACAGTAAAATAAAAATGTACTAATGGCTGATATGAATGTTTAAATGGTACTGTCAGTCTTTTTTAGTTTACATTTAAAGACCAATAAAGATAACCCTGATGCTTAAAGCGCACAAGTGAACCTAATGTCCTGTTGTCGATATGACAGATTTCCTAACCTCGTGAGAGTGCTGAGTGAGCAAGTTTGACGCTTAACAATTCGATTCGCGAGACAGAGCAACGCTTTTTTCTGCCAAATTCACTCATTTTGAACAAAACCGCGTCGAATGAGCGCAAACATACATCATTCCAAGAGACGGTAGGATAACACTAAATGTAATTGCCAATGTACTATTGCAGTGTAAACTTTGATGTGATGAAATTACTGAACAAAATAGTTTTAAAACATATAAAGTAAAAAAAGACTTATGTAATATTTAATGCGTATTGTGATTTAATATCTGATTGATGTACAATAACAGACTGTGTTTCGATATTCACTGTCATTGCTGAAAATTTATATTTTACGTGACGTGAATTATAGATTTGCAGCACTAACAGTATAAATATCGAAGTGCAAAAGAGTTCCATAATTATACATGTTAAAAACGTACACTTGTCTAAACACGTGTATCGTAAAGAAGAAAACATATATAAGTATATATACATGGGAAAAAAGAAAAATTAAGAAACGAAAAAGATTTTTGATTAATTTTTTTAATTTGTAAAAAACAAATATATTTTTATATTTGACAGATAAAACAATATTTTCTAAGATGGAAAGAAAGTTAAGAGCTAGATGCAACCAACCAATAATTGAAATATCAGATTCAGATGATGAAGATTGTAAAATATTTTCTAAAGTAGATAAAGATGAGAATTATGTAATAGAAGAAAAGAAAACGAAGGTAAAAGTTACAAGAAAGAAGAAAGAACCAGCAAAACCCAGAAACCAGAAAACTACGCAAATCACGAATGTTAAATCTATCAAGAGAAAAAATCAAGAAGAAAGCTTGGAAATGGTTACTAGCAAGAAGCCAAAGCTGGAAGAACCGTCATCATCAGTTTTAGATTCCAAAACATTTCAACAAAATCAGAAAGATACAATCAAAACTGATACAAAACAGGATGTAAAGATTAAAGGAAATTCTAGTTTTTCAGAATGCACAGAATGGACTGATGTTGACTACATAAGTGAAGTTAACAATGTCGATAGACATATTGCTGAGAACATAATAAAGCTCTTCAAGGAGGATAATACTATACCTTTCATTGCAAGATACAGAAAGAACATGACTGGATCCATGGAACCAGATCAGTTGAGAGCACTTAAGGATAGTTTCGAGCAAGTAAAATTGATCAAACACCGCGCTGCAAATATTATCAAAAGCATTGACAAGTTAGGAAAATGGTCACCAGAAATTCACTCCGCCGTCACATCCGCAAAATCTCTCGCCGACCTCGAACATATTTATTCTTTGTATAAACCGTCATCGAAACGAACTCTGGCAGAAAGAGCGAGAGAATTGGGTCTAGAAGGTATCAGCAATGCTGTTTTGAAGGGACAGAGAATACCACCGCTTGTATCTTTGATAGACAAGCAGAAGGAAGGCTTGCAAAGTGAGGAGCAAGTAAGAGATGGTATCGTACACATAATAGCGGATGTAATTAGCAAAGACAAGGAGGTTTTCGATAAAGTGATGTCTTTTCGAAAGATATACAATATAGATATACAGACGACACAGTTGTCTTCGACGTCGGAGAACTCGAACAACGAGAACGAGCATAAATACAAAAGTTACTTCAGCTTTAAGTCAAGCGAAAGGAATATCAAGCCGCATCAAATATTGGCTATCAATCGGGCTGAATTGCAGAAGATCATCAATGTGAAAGTTGTTGTTCCGGATGTTTTCGAGCGTGCATTTAAAATCTATTGTCTGTCACGATACACGTATCGTCAAGAGTCAAGAGGAAATTCGATCAGGTTGCATGAGGATTTGCTTCGCACCAGTATCGATTACGCTTACAACAAACTCATCAAGCGCCTCGTGGTACGTCGAGTGAGGAGCGAGATGAAAGAAAGGGCAGAAGTGGCGTCTATAGAGGTCTTCGCAACTAACGTCAAGCAGTTATTGCTCACACCTCCTGTGCGAGGCAAAGTTGTACTCGGCATAGATCCGGGTTTTTATCATGGATGCAAACTCGCTGTCGTGTCGGAACACGGCGACGTTCTCGAAACCGCTGTAATAAAGCCCAACACCCAGCAGTCGCAAGCGTTTGAAAAATCGACCAAAACATTGCAGAAATTAATAAAGGAACACAACTGTACGGTAATTTCTTTAGGAAACGGCACGGCGTCCAGAGAAACCGAAATGTTTCTTACAAGATGTATACAATCCAAGATGTTCGGCTCGCTGGACGTTAAGTACACGATTGTTGACGAAGCTGGAGCCTCGATTTACAGTTGCAGTTCCGAGGCAAAATCCGAGTTCTCGGATCTCGATCCGAACCTGATATCGGCGGTTTCGATAGCGAGACGTTTGCAGGATCCTCTGGCAGAATTGGTCAAAGTAGAGCCGAAACATCTAGGAGTCGGACAGTATCAGCACGATCTTCCCGAGAAACAATTGCTGAACGCGCTGGACGAAGTTAGTGCACACAAAATTTTTTAATTTTCTATTTTGTAATAATTAAACACTAAAGATAAATAATATAATCGAGAAGGAATTGTCATATTAAATTGTCGCGTAGTTTTGTTATTTGAGACTAATCGAAAATGTTTTATTAGATAACGTGATAATTTTGAAAACAAATAGATGTTTATATTGATTATTACAGGTAGTTACAGAAGCCGTGAGTTTTGTCGGAGTCGACATCAATACAGCTTCTCACTGTCTGCTGCGAAGAGTAGCCGGTCTAACAAATTATCGAGCCGCGAGTATTATAGAATGGCGAGCCAAACACGGAGCGTTTAGAAATAGAAAGCAACTGTTGGATGTAAAGGGCGTCGGCAGCAAAACGTTCGAACAGTGCGCGGGATTCATAAGAATTCTGCCGGAGACAGCAGTGACTAGCGAAATCTCAACGAAAACAGGCAAAAGAACAACGTCGAAGAACAACGATCTCAATCCTTTGGATCAAACGTGGATTCATCCGGAATCGTACGCGATAGCGAACAATTTTGTTGTGAATCACTGCAAATGCAAGTTGAACGATCTCGGTACTTCGGCATTTATCGAGAAGATAAATGTTCACGCGAAAGCGGGATGCGCCGCGCTGGCTGCACAGTTTGATACCAACGAGGCTACAATGGAGATCATAGTTAAAGCTTTGACTATGAGGAAGAACGAGGACATACGCTTAGCATCAAATTGTCCTCTGTTTCGCGACGGCATGAAGAGTATCAAAGATTTAAGCGTGGGTACCGTGTTGAACGGTGTTGTGCGGAACGTTACGCATTTCGGAGCGTTTGTAGACATAGGTGTCGGCGATCAGGGATTGATACATGTTACGCGTATGAAAAAGCAGACTCTGCAAGTGAGCCAGCGTGTAGAAGTGAAGGTAATCGAGGTTGATGTGACACGCAAGAGAATCGGTCTCGAGTTAATGACAACGTTGTAGATAGAGGTACGCGAATTACTCTTTCCGGTATTTCGACTTGATCTGCGGTTTTTGCCGCACTTGGTATTAATGTATTCAATATAATTACCTGATGTTTGATTATAGTTTGCGTGTAATTCGCATAGGATAATGTTCTTGAATGCGTGCGCGCGCGAGGCTACTGGAGTTGCATTACCATTAGTCGCTTAAAAACTGTTGTATCTACTTTCGACATTTTTTTATATCAATTATTATTATTAATTTCGATCAGCATAGGGTCTCGCGTGTTTATACTCTTCTATCAGAATCTTTTCTGGCGAGTGGTTTATCTAGAAAAAATGAATCCCGTTTTACGTCGTGCATCGTGAACGCCTAAAACGAGAACTCTATATGCGCAGTTGCGGCGAGTTTGCAAAAGGAATTTCAGTCACGTAGTAACGCGAACCTTTTCCTTCGCTAGTAGCAAAAGTACGGTCGGTTCACGATCTACAAGGGTGAGGGAGAGGAAGGAAGAAAGTGTAGTCTGTGCGCTGGATGCTATAGGAAGAAGGTTGCGATTACGATAGAACGCGTACGCTGGTTTAACTTTTTAAGCCAGATTTTTCTCGACACCGCGAATTATATTGCGATTTGCTGTGTGCTCTATTTTATTTTAAAAAAAACATTTATTTTTTAATTNNTTTCATTTCNTGTCGTTCTTTTGGAATTTNNTTTTTTNTNTTTTTTTTTTTTTTTTTTTTTTTNTTTATGATATCNCGATATGTTTTTATTTTATTTTTATNTCACACNCAGNGCAATTNTTGACAGAGACGTGACAGTACTTTAATTTTTGTTATTCATTATATATTTCCGCAAAACGGTCCGATGATTATTTAAAGACGACCTTGGTTTTGTGTTGCTTGAAAGTTTTAGCATGCAATCTGCAAATTCTGTCCCGTTATCGGGAAAGTTTAGACGCATACCATTCCGCTCTGTCCGCTGTTGTCTCGAACCTCGGCTACATTTTGTATGAGGAGTACGCTCGATACTTTCTTAATAGAGAGAATCGCTTTAGATTGGATTTAAGAACATGCGGTTTTTAGCGAATCTGTACTTGGCGTTGCTTTCCGCAATCAAAGCGTTGATCTTTCGTATTTTTTATTTACATATTCGATACATATGCATAATTGTTTTATATTCGACGAGATACATGATGTATATAAAAAAAAAAAGCAAATTACAAAATATTGAACAATCTTCTAGAAAATACAGCCAATTAGCAAATGTTGTTAGAAACTAGATATGTTTAGTATAAAAGAATTATGCATATGTATTTTTTTTTGTACATTTTTATTGTAGACATTGACATGTAGAAAAATGTTTTTTTTTTCAAATAAAAAATGAATATTTTTATAAATATCTCTTCACATTAGTTTATAATCTTATTCACAAGGTAATCTCAATTGCGATACGATTGTGCTTCTTTTCACGCGTTACGTTACCAGACGAGAAATAACAGCTAGATCTCGAAATTGTGCGAACGTGTTATTTCTGAGATGTTAAATTCTTCGTGCAAACGTCATTATCGGTATGTGGAATATTGAATATCGATTTAACTCGGTTAAACACATACAACCAACCTTGGCATTGAATTTCCTTCCGCGCGCCTTTTCCACCATATCTGGCCTTTATTTTCCGGGACGCTCTTTTTATATCCGTCGTTTTTCTCTTTTCTTTCATGCGCCCCATTGTTAGACGAGACGCTTTGAAACTACTTTTCACCCCCGGGGATCTGTCTATTCGCGCTACCGAGTAATAACCTCGGGTATTTTGTTGTGTTGCCCAGGTATCGAAGAGATTTTGCCCCGATGTTACTTCCGCGAGAAAAAGATTTAAGAGCTCTCTCCGTTAGCTTCGCATTTTCCGTTGCTCAGCGCATTGTGTGAATATATTTCACGTTTTTTCAACACATATACGCATATCTTTGCGCATTTTCAGATTGCGAAAGTTCATCATCTCGAAGCAAAATTCAAATTAAATTAAAAAAAAATATTTATGTGTGAAAAATAATTCGTATACATGCGATACAACAGAAGCCGTAAATAAAAACTTGATGTATTTGTTTTTACTGTGTAATTGCTTGTTACTGTCAAAAAAGTATGATACGTTATGAATAATGTATGAAAGCTTAAACGTTACTGTACAAATTGCCTTTCTCGTGGCAACTCTCTGGATTTGCCACGCCGCAAACCGTGAAAACACAATGTGCTTTCTCTCTCTCTCTCTCTCTCTCTCTTTCTCTCTCGTGCACCGAAGAAGCTTTTTGCGCTGCCTTTTTTTTTGCAGCCATTGCCGTTTCTGACGACTTAAGTCCTTTCTTAGCCGAGCTCACGTAACGCCAACGTAACGAGAATGTAATATTTATATTATCAGGAAAAATATTTTCGCGCTGGTATACGACGCGATGTGTGGCTTCTAGAGGGCGATTCCAGGTGAACTGCGACGAGAGCTACGTACGTATACATACACAGTCTCGTTTCTTCAAAAAAGAAAACGATGAAAGAAACTGGGACAAAAAAAACACATTTTGCGTAATTCAACGAACTCTAGTTTCTCACGATCCAATTAATCGCGTTTCGTATAAACGCGTATCGTTTATTTTTTTTAATTTCATCTTTTCTCGCTCTGCACTTGTTTACACAGTTAAAATAGTTGACTTTTCTTTTTCAAGTGAAGAATTATTAGAAGAGCAATCATTTACTTCGCTCCAAAAAAAAATAGAGAATTATTTCAAATTAGATTTCAATTAAGTTATTGTTTTTTTTTATTCCATAAATACATCAAAAATAATTTATATTCGACACGCGAAATAACGATATTTTACGTAATTGGTATCTCGCGTTTGAAATGTTTTGTTTCCATATCATGCATTCTACTTTATTCTCGCGCGCTAACGTTATTTCGTGCGAGCTTTTCACGTGTTTCCGACGAAATCATCAAGCTGTCGCAAGAATACGCGCGCACCACGCGCTGCCGGAGGTTACTTAATTTCAGTCTCGCGACTCATAGGGGTGGGCTGATCCAATTATCGTGGTTCGCCACGAGCATCAAGGTGGCGGTTTCCATTCTCTCTATACTCCTTTGTCTCTTGCGAATTGAGACGAGAACTTGGTAGTGGTGTTCACCACGGCGTTCGTAACGATCATCAAAAGCAAAACCGATCCGAGCGAAAGGGACCAGAAGGAATACGGTTAACAAATTCCAGCCGACAAATGGATATCAATCTCATCCGTTTCCAAGCTGTTTCGACGGCCAGTTAGCATTTCCAACGTTCTAGTCAGGTTTAATTTACGTACAAAGGATAGAAGAAACCAGAGAGAGAGAGAGAGAGTTTACATATATGCAACAGTTGCTACACGCTTTTTAAATTTATTGCTTGATCAACCATCAATATTAATTTTTAAACAATCATTGTTTACCATACAAATTTTTTCTCAAACATTTCAATATTTAGTGTGATGTAATAAAACTAATTAAAAGTACAGAAGAAATTCTTTTTTTTACACACAATCACTCTTCAGTAGTAACTGTTATAATTTTATGTAACTCACTATAAATCAGCACGGGGCTATATTCTGATGAGCAGAGCTGACTGCGACATACACACATACGCGCGTATGCGCGCGCGCGCGCGAGACGTAAAAACAATTAACATTCCATCCTAATGGCTCTCTGATTTTGTCGCCGTTCGAGGCATAATGCGAATATGCGAGAGAGCCTACGCAAGGGTTGTCTCTTGACTCGCTCGCCGGTGTAAAGGCTCTCTCTGCATCCCTCGATCAATATTCCGTCCAGTGACGTAGCAGACGGGTTTCTTTTCGTGTAACTGCATGGTATACGATTTTGTTTGTTTTAAACGTGACGTTTTAACGTTGTACAATTGTAAATATCACCTCGTGATCAACATGAGCGTTTAATTTTAATAAAATTAAAATATTTTTACACAAAGTTTCAGCTTCAGAGAATCGACTGAAAAAATCAAAATAATCTTGGCGTATCGCAATTACATCAAATTACATAAACGTTAATTAATTTCTACTTTTACTGATATATTTAAGGAAAAACAATGATATTTTAAATTATTATATGTATGCACACACATTTCGAGGTTTAAAGCGTATCTTAGGAATTAAATAGATAGTTCAGCTTTAATGTCTTTCAGTTTCTGATCTTACTCAATCCTTTTTAAATATAGAGCAAAGCGTTTTGTTAAAGGTTACATAAGTAACAGGAAAGATATAACATTTTTTTTCTGTGTGTTTATACACGTGTATATTTAAATATTTTTAATATTTTCTTCGTGTCTTATTAAAGAGTTTTTAAAACCGTTTTTTTTTTTTTTTAAAGAGAATTTCGCGTATTTACATGTTAAATTCGTAAATGTAAACGTGATATTTTCGGAATTAACATTTGCACAAGCAACAGCGCGTGTGTGGGTGGGTGTTGGGCAAATTTGCTACTGCCAGTCAGGATATTTAATTGGAAAGCCGTCACGCAACGCAACTGTCAATGGGAAAATCTCTCTCTCTCTCTCTCTCTCTCTCTCTCTCTCTCTCTCTCTCTCTCTCTTTCGATAACGTGATTAAATTTTGCGGCCAATTGCCGTGACGCGAATTGGTGGACGACATATGGTGGCTGAACAGGATTCTTGATGGTTACCGTTCGCCATACATTATGAAGCGCGTACCTGTGTACTCACACACTCGAGAGTGTCATGAATGTTGCGCAGTCATGATTAAAACAGTACCACCACTCTTTTTCAATCAAATTTCTATAATACTTATTAGTTTCATAACGATGTGTTTCAAAGGTCAAGTAAACGTTTCCGTTTCTTGAAAAAAAAAAAAAAAAAAAACTATCGCAACAACATATGCGAATCGAAAAAACATTGCTGGCAGCAAACGTAAATTGAATAAAACTTAGTCTTATTTATAGATTCAATGCCAGAGAATGGAAGTAAATGTAATGTAATAATCTCGCGTAATGTAAGGTGATATAAAACTATGTACTAACTTGACTATACTGATATACTTGATTTTAATTTGTTACAGTGCTTTTTCGTCGGAATGCCGTATTCGATGAGTTTGCGCGTGTGACGTTTGGACTGTTCCTCGGAGATCTTCCTTTCTGCTGTTGCTGCCGGCAGAGGATTAGACGCATCATAAGGTAGAGGTGAGTTCACAAAGATAACACTGCGTATTCCGCATTCAGCGAGAATTGAAGGGGCGCCACTTAAGCCGGTATTCATAGTCGAATCTAAGATCGTCTTGAGTTCCATCTTCAGATGCTAGTCAATAAGACCCACACAGCATCTTGAGATAAACTTAAGACGATCTTAGATATAAGAAACAAAACTGTGAATACCTGTGCTTCAAAACTCTGAAAGATAAAGATTCTAAAATAAAATTTGCGATCTAAGAACTTGTAAATATAAAATGGAATTCAATTAATAAATTCGAGACACAGTGACGCGTTGAATGCGCGAAATTCTTAATACTTCAAAATTAGAAATGTCGCATACGTGTACGTCATTTTCTTCACGAGACAAAAAACTTATAAATTAAATGAAGCTTGAGGTTAACGTGACACGCACAAAATGCGATACCTGAAGTGATCTTTCAGTGAATTCGATGACAATCGGTTGGAAAATCGATCCTGCCGCGA